TATAGGTAATAAATTAAAAACTGAAAGTGATGGAGTGAAATGGTTTAGATAAAAAACATTAATAATCAACTCATAAATTATAATCCATAAGAAGTTGTTCGTATCATTGATTGTTACCAACCTAAGAAACAAAAACTGACGAATTACCAAAATTTTGCATTTCTAACATTATTGTTACGGCCTGAAGATGATGGAGTGAAATAATTTGGACTAAAAACATTCATAATAACCCTAAAAATTATAATCCATAAGAGATTTGTCCATGTCGTTGGTTTTTCCAACCTAAGGAACTAAAACTGATGAACATTCTCGGTAGTTCTCGGTCTAGTGTTAATTCTAGTGGCAGTGATAGATGTTGTATATTTTTAATAATAAAATACTTAAAATGTCTACATAATATCTTCTTAACTGAAAAATATTAATCAAAAACTGTTAACGGCGCTTATTTCGCTCACCTTTTATCGTTTTTGGATAATCGATTAGTTGATTAATCATAAAAATCAAAAAATCCTTGAAAAAAAGCACAATAAATGATTTTTATAACGTGCTGTCAATCTACGAGTTCTGCTGTCAATTTAACTAGTAGCGACATCTATTAGATGACACTTAAAATGTCTAAATGATTTCCTAACCGAAAAATATTAATCGAAAATTGTTAATAACGCTTATTTCGCTCACCTTTTATCGTTTTTGAATAATCGATTAGTTGATTAATCACAACAATAAAAAAATCCTTGAAAAAAGCACAATAATCAAATGATTTTTATAACGCGCTGTCAATCTACGAGTTCGGTTGTCAACTTAACTAAGAGCGACATCTATTAGATGACACTTAAAACGTCTAATAACTTCCTAACCGAAAAATATTAAACGAAAACTGTTAATAACGTTTATTTCGCTCACTTTTTATCGTTTTTGGATAATCGATTAATTGATTAATCACAATAATAAAAAAAATTGTCGAAAAAAGCACAATAATCAAATGATTTTTATAACGCGCTGTCAATCTACGAGTTCTGCTGTCAATTTAACTAATAGCGACATCTATTAGATGACACTAAAAATGTCTAAATGACATTTTCCTAACCGAAAAAAATTAAGATAACGCTTATTTCGCTCACCTTTTATTGTTTTTGGATAATCGATTAGTGGATTAATCGAAAAAATCAAAAAATCCTTGAAAAAGCACAATAATCAAATGATTTTTATAACGCGCTATCAATCTACCAGTTCTACTGTCAACTTTACTAATAGCGACATCTATTAGATAACACTCAAAATGTCTAAATGACATCTTCCTAACCCAAAAATATTAATCGAAAACTATTAATAACGCTTATTTTGTTGAACTAAAATTAGAACTAAAGCTAGAACTAACATTAGAAACTTTCAGGTTCTGCCGTGCGTCTTTTAAGAAAAGGTTGTTTAACAGATCGAGTGTTCCACTAACAAAAGACGAAACCACTGTGCTCGCCAAAGGATTAAACTACGCAATAGCCCCGAAGAAGGTCCCAAAAGAGGAAATCATCTGCGAAGTGGAAGTAGCTGTCCGAGGAATGCCCGCTCTAAAAGCCGAAGAGATCCGACAAGAAGTTGCGAGAGTACTGAAGTCAGCAAAACCACCGAAATCTAACTTGACGGTTGGTGAAAAGAAGGCACTCCGATCTATAAAAGAAAAGTCAGAAATCGTCGTGTTACCAGCAGACAAAGGGAATGCCACCGTGTTTATGGACAAAAAAGAATATGACGATAAAATGATGAACCTACAGGAAGATCAAGAAGGACCCCACAGACAAAATCGTAAGGAAAATGAAGGACCTGATAAAATCTACAGGAATTCCAGCAGAACGGTTTGTTTGTGCAGGCGCCGGAACCACCAAGAATTTATGGACTACCGAAGATTCATAAACCAGACGTCCCCCTCCACTCTATCGTCAGTGCCATCAACTCCCCAACATAGAAGTTTTCAAAATATCTTGCAAAGATTCTGTCTCCTTTCACAGGGAATACGGAATTATATGTCAGAGATTCTACACACTTTGTGGAATCGCTAAAAGGTACAAAGCTAGATGCTGAGGATATTTTGGTAAGTTTCGATGTGGAATCCCTTTTTATTAGGGTACAAGTTATGGATGGTCTCCGCCAAAAACTCATTCTGGAGGGATTACCAGAATACGTGCCAGATCTAGTGGAGTACTGTTTATCATCGACATATTTCAGTTGGAAGGGAGAATTTTACGAGCAGTTCGAAGGGGCATCTTGGAATCTCCATTATCGCCAGTTATAGCGAATTTGTACATGGAATTATTCGAAGAAAACGCTTTGAAGAAGAGCCAGTGCAGATATGGCAACATGGTCAAAAGCGACTCCAATAGTTCTTGGATCTCTTGAACTCTCAACATCCCATAATTAAGTTTACCATGGAAACAAAAACTGCCAAAAAACCACCTACTACCTACCATTATCTCCTACAAATGGAGATATGGAACTAGGTATATATCGGAAGGAGACCCATACCAACAGGTACTTGCAGGCATCATCACATCATCATCCCCAACAGCAGAGGTGCGTGATCCGCACTTTATTTCAGCGAGCAGCCAGAATATGTGAAGGAGATAACTTGAAGAAGGAGCAACACTTTCTACGAGGCGTATTGCAGAGGGAGGACACGGTAAGTACAAAATCTCTTGGATTTATCTGTCTTCTTTATGTTTCAGGTGTAACGGAACGAATTGCCAGGCACCTCAAGAAGACCGACATCGTAATGCGGCATGGGACGATCTGCAAAATCCGGAACACACTCCCGATAGCCAAGATCAAACTATTATTAAAAGGGGCGCTCACAAAAGAAGTCATAAAGATCCATCGACATAGAAATAACGTCAACAGAAAGGATGGCTGGGAGCTTAGCACAACATGGAAGATGGTGGTGAACACGAAGACCACCTCCAGCCCCACACTGGACGCATTAGTTAATAATTAGCTTGTAATTAGCTTTAATAGATTATTAATTAGTTTTCCGTAAAGTCACTTTTCTCGAAAATTTTCTTATGTAAGCAATATTAATATTGACTGTATTAGATTCAGAAAAAAATCTTCTTTCATATTCCGTAATAAAAATGGGGGATTGCCATTTTTTTAAAAAATACCGACGACATAACTCGCTTAAAAATTGCGGAAGAAATTTAAAATCTACACCAAACAATTACAAAAAGTTTAAATCTTTAGATCCGTTTCAGGGATTTTTCCATAAACCGTTTATAATGATTTTATCGCCTATATCCGTTACTTTACGGACATACTGTATACGATTTCGTCACTTCGAACCAGTTTCTGAAGAATGTTGCAACATGGCATCCGAAACGTCAAACCTTTTCTTAAAAGACGCACGGCAAAACCCGAACGTTTCTAGTTTTAGTTCAATTAACTCCGGCCGTGAAAGCCTTCGTACTTATAACGCTTATTTTGCTCACCTTTTATCGTTTTTGGATAATCGATTAGTTGATTAATCAAAAAATCCTTGAAAAAAGCATAATAATCAAATGACTTTTTATCGGTTTTGGATAATCGATTAGTTGATTAATCAAAAAATCCTTGAAAAAAGCATAATAATCAAATGACTTTTTATCGGTTTTGGATAATCGATTAGTTGATTAATCAAAAAATCCTTGAAAAAAGCGCAATAATAATCAAATGATTTTTATAACGTGCTGTCAATTTACGAGTTCTGTCAACTTAACTGATAGCGACATCTATTGGATAACATTTAAAATGTCTAAATGACATCTCCATAACTAGCACTATCACTACAACTAACACAAGACCTAGAACTAGAATCATTCGGGTTTAGCCGTCTTGAAAGACGTGCGGCTAAACCCGAATGTTTCTAGTTCTCGATCTAGTGTTAGTTCTAGTTTTACATTAGCACTATCACTAAGGCTATCACAAAACCTAGAACTAGAATCATTCGAGCTTAGCCATGCTGAAAAACGTACGGCTAAATTCGAATGTTTCTAGGTGGACGGAAACATCTTGAATTTTCCTAGTATAATTTTTGCTTAAAACTGACCAATAGCAACCCTTCTTTTTGGCGCTTCAATTTAAAAACACTTCCGAATTAAAAAATAGAGTATAAATTAATACCAATTTAATTTTGCGATATAAACCAAATCTACTTTACCGACTCAATTATGTCATCTACATTACCGACTTGAAGTTGACATTTTCACCCTTGTTTACCCAGATGGCAGGGTAATTTATGATTAATTTACTTAATAATTTAATTTTTTTGCATAAAACTGACCAATAACAACCCTTCTTTTTGGCGCTTCAATTTAAAAATACTCCCAATTAAAAAAAAATAAAAAATCCGAATTGGCAAAATTAACAGGGAGTTTTGTTTTATCATGTTTTGAAATAAATATGTCACATTGACGTTTATTTGAACTTTCCTTATTCAAATAATCAAAAGGAGGAACAAAAATAGTTATAATTGAATTACATAGATGAGTAAACGACGATAATAAACGTTTAATTAATATTAAAATAAAAAATACAACATAACCTCACTTAATATGATTTAAAAAAAAAAATTTTTAATAAAAAAAAAGTGATTCAATTTATTTTTGAGTGAATCTCATGATAGAGTCTCTTTTAGAGATATTTGGAAGTGTCTCCTTCTATTTTTATCCCACGCACCTTTAAATATAGAACTTTGAAATTTTGCCAACTTGCCAAAATTTCTCATCGCATCCAGAACACACGTTTCTTAACTCTTTTCGAGTTAAACAAAAAAAAATAAACCAAAAACGAACGAAAAATTCCGACGCATTTCTCATTTTTATTTATAGTCGGAGACTCACATTCCAAAAATCGAAAAAAAAAAAATCTAAATAAAAAACAAACTTAGATTACGTTCTTAAATAAAGATAACCGAATTATTACTCGTGTTTCCTCATCAAAGATAACAACAACAAACAAAAAATAAAGGGATTAATTACCTTATTTAATGGTAGCACAACGAAAGCACCACCTCCAGCGCTTTCGACGATGATAGCCAAAAACTTTGGGTTAACCGCACAAAATGTTGAATCCCAAGAGCTTTTGCTCACTCGAATATTATCGTAGCATTGCTCCCTTTTTAAAGCTTGCCCGTAAACGTGTCGAAACTTCGAGCTACGCACCACACGAAAAGACATCTAAAAATTAATTTAAATAAATAAATTAAAAAAAAATTAATTAATTTATTTATTAGGGCGGTAACTTTAAATATCTTCTTACCTTAAATTTTTTAGGTTATGTTCTTAATCTCGTGGCGTCTCCTCTTTTCCCTCTACTTCGCCTCTTCGAAATCTTCCAAACACAAACACGGATAAACAAAACGTCGAGGGGGGCCCCCTTATTCCAACCCGGGGAACATCACGATTCCTTTTAATCTTTTTTATTAATTTTTATTTTATTTTTTTTTTGGGGTTAAGTTGCGACTTGCTCGGTTTTCTTCTTTCTTGTAATTTTTTTTCTGGTGTTGTTTTAAGTGTCGAGGGGGGCGAAACACCTCCTCTCCGTGGCACCACGCACACTCTCTCTCTTCTGTGCTGGTATATAACTAGCGCACAGGTCTCCACAAACATGCCATATTTGGCAATGGTAACATTTCGAAACGTCAAACGGGGATTCGACGGTGGCGACATCTACACGAATTCGAGGCAAGTTTTTTTGTCTTTTAGGATTCTATAAAGAAATTAATTAAATTAATAATTAAAATTAGATTTTTAAAAGAATGGGAATTGTTTTAATTAAAATAATAAGGAATGTAATAATTAAAATTAATTTAAATAAAAGTTTTAATACGTCGTGGGCGCCATCTATGAGTGGTGGTGCCAACTTTATATACAAAAATTGACGATAAATAATTAATTAAGATTAATTACGGTATTAGATTAATAATTTAATTAAAAAATTAAAAAGAAAATTTAATTTGATAAATTTTTAATAAAAGTGACATCTTTGAAATATCTAAATGTCAACCGAAAAATGTTGGATTTTGACACCGTAAATAAAGCGACATCTATGGAGTAATACTTAAAATATCTACATTACATCTTCCTAACCGAACAATATTATTATTATTAATTTATCGATTTTGGAGAATCGATTAGTTGAGTAATCACAACAATAAAAAAAAAATCAGTAATCAAATGAGTTTTATAACGTGCTGTCGTAAAAAAATAAATTTAAATGAAATTTTTTTGTATTTTTATGGTTGGCAATAAATAATTTGACGTTTACAAAGCGAGGTTAGGTTTTATCTTTGTGGGAAATTAAAAATCCTTTAATTTGAGTCCAAACACGACGGAATTATCTTAAAAAACACCCAAGATATCCCACATTTAATTTTGACATAACCTCAAAAAAATGACAACCGGAAGTTGGTGGTGTACGTAGTTTTTTTAAGATAACTCGACCGAGTTTGGGCTCATTTTAAAGGGAATTTAATGCAGATTACGAATACGATGCTAGATTAATCAAATTCGATAGTAATAAAAACAAAGTGGAGGATGATTTAAGAAAAATGATTCAATTTCAACGAAATTAAATTCGCCAGGTGTTTTTAAATCTAGAAATAAAGAATTTTATTATTATTTAATTAAAATTATTAATCAAGATGGCGAAAAATATCAATTTGACGTTTACAAAGTGAGGTTAGGTTCTTTTTTTAATTCATAATCGGGTGGGGAATTAAAAATCCTTTAATTTGAGTCCAAACACGACCCAATTATCTTAAAAAACACCCGAGATATCCCACATTTCATTTTGACATAACCTCAAAAAAGTGACAATCGGAAATTTGTTGTTTTTTAAGATAACTCGGCCGAGTTTGGGCTCGTTTTAAAGAGAATTTAATATAGATTACGAATACGATGTTGGTTTAATTAAATTCTGTCAAAATAAAGACAAAATGTCGGATAATTCAATACGATTTGAACGAAATTAAGTTCGCGGAGGACTTTTAAGTAAAAATATAAAATTTCGCTATTATTTATTTATTATTTTTTTGTTATTATTTATTTATGTTTGAATTTTAATGTTATGACGTTGTCTATTTGTCTATCATTTAATAACTAACTTCAGATTTAAAATATCAACCTCAATTTTGACATATTTGTAATCTTCATTAAAAATCCTTTAAAATGAGTACAAACACGACATATTTATCTTCAATATTAATGAAGTTATGGTCAACTTCCGGTTAGAAATGTCAACGTCAATTTTGACATATTTGTAATTGTCGTGAAAAATCCTTTAAAATGAGCCCAAACATGACACGTTTAATTCCAATATTACTCGAGATATAAGTAACTTCCGGTTTGAAATGTCAATGTTATTTCGACAAATTCTTAATTTTTAAAAAATGTCTTAAAATTTATCACAAAGACAAAAATACAATAAAAAAAATTAAAAATTAAGGTTGGTATTAATATTTAAAAATTAAATTGTTATCTTCATTGTTGCTAACTTCGGGTTTAACGTTTTTTTATTCAAACTTTTTTGTTTTTTGAGATAAGTGCGTCATGTTTGGACTTATTTTAAAGGTTTTTTTAATGAAGATGACAAATATGTCAAAATTGACGTTGACGTTTCAAACCGGAAGTGATTGTATTTCCATTAATATTAAAGTTAAATATGTCGAGTTTGGACTCATTTTAAAGGATTTTTTATGAAATTGACAAATGTCACAATTAAAAGTTGAAAGTTCGAACTTTCTTAAAACTTTCTAGTTCTAGGTCTAGTGTTATTATTCTTGTACATTTTAATTGATCTATACATATTTTTTTTTTGATTTAATCCACTTACCTTGCTTATAATTTCATCCATTTACCCATTTTGAACTAAAAACAACCTTTAAATCCAATTAATTATGAGTTTTTCATTAAAAAAATTTGAATTCAACGTCAATTTTGACAAGCAACTGCAATATTTGGATCTTAATCACCATGGTAACCGAGTCAAGTTGGATAACCTTAAAATAATAAAATTTTATTCCGATTTTTTTATCAATCCAACCTAATTTTTATTAATTTTTTTAAAACAACTCGAATTCTTTACGATTATCTCGCATTCATAACAAATACCCTAGATAAACCAATTTTCAGTTAAATACAGCCTTTTAAACCAATTAAATAAGACTTTTCCCTTAAAAGAACTTAACTTTAATTTCAATTTTGACAAGCACCTGCAATATTTGGATCTTAATCACCATGGTAACCGAGACAAGTTGGGTAACCTAACAATAATAAAATTATAACCGTTAATATTTCTCTTTATATTTTAATATTTTCTTTTTTTTATATTTGTGTATTGCTTTTTAAGTGGAATAAAAAAAAACTGTATAAATAAAAAAATAGAAATGTAAATTCTTCCAATGACGTCACAGAAAGGCCTTTGCGAGGGGATACGTTCATAACAACAGCGTTCATATCGAGTTGGATAACCTTATACAGTATGTTTACCCCACGGATGTTTTTGGATAATCGATTAATCGAAAAAATCATTGAAAAAAGCACAATAATCAAATGATTTATCAAACGAGTTCCGCTGTCAACTTAACCAATAGCGACATCTATTAGATGACACATAAATTGTCTAAATGACTTCCTATGCGAATAAAATTAATCGAAAATTATTAATAATGTTTATTTCGCTCACCTTTTATCGTTTTTGGATAATCGATTAGTCGATTAATAACAAAAATCAAAAAATCCTTGAAAAAAACACAATAATCAAATGATTTTTATAACGCGCTGTCAATCTAAGAGTTCCGCTATCAACTTAACTAATAGCGGCATCTATTAGATGACACTTAAAATGTCTAAATGACTTCCTAACCGAATAAAATTAATCGAAAATTGTTAATAACGCTTATTTCACTCACCTTTTATCGTTTTTGGATAATCGATTAGTAGATTAATCACAACAATAAAAAAATCCTTGAAAAAAACACAATAATCAAATGTTTTTATAACGCGCTGTCAATCTACGAGTTCCGCTGTCAACTTAACTAATAGCGACATCTATTAGATGACACTTAAAATGTCTAAATGACTTCCTATGCGAATAAAATTAACCGAAAATTATTAATAATGTTTATTTCGCTCACCTTTTATCGTTTTTGGATAATCGATTAGTCGATAAATAACAAAAATCAAAAAATCCTTGAAAAAACCACAAAAATGAAATGATTTTTATAACGTGCTTTCAATCTACGAGTTTTTCCGTCAATTTAAATAATAGCGACGTTTTAACCAAATAATATTAATGGAAAATTGTTAATAACGCTTATTTCGCTCACTTGGATAATCGATTAATCGAAAAAATCAAAAAATTCTTGAAAGAAGCACAATAATCAAATGATTTTTATAACGCGCTGTCAATCTACGAGTTCGCTGTCAACTTAACCAATAGCGACATCTATCGGATGACACTTAAAACGTCTAAAGGATATCTACCTAACCGAACAATATTAATTGATAATTATTAATAACGCTTATTTCGCTCACCTTTTATCGTTTTTGGATAAACGATTAGTTGATTAATCACAACAATAAAAAAATCCTTGAAAAAAACACAATAATCAAATGATTTTTATAATGCGCTGTCAATTTACGATTTTTGCCGTCAATTTAAATAATAGCGACGTTTTAACCAAACAATATTAATGGAAAATTGTTAATAACAATTATTTCGCTCACTTGTATAATCGATTAATCTAAAAAATCAAAAAATTCTTGAAAGAAGCACAATAATCAAATGATTTTTATAATCTACGAGTTCGCTGTCAACTTAACCAATAGCGACATCTATCGGATGACACTTAAAACGTCTAAAGGATATCTACCTAACCGAACAATATTAATTGAAAATTGTTAATAACGCTTATTTCGCTCACTTTTTATCGTTTTTGGATAAACGATTAGTTGATTAATCACAACAATAAAAAAATCCTTGAAAAAAACACAATAATCAAATGATTTTTATAATGCGCTGTCAATTTACGATTTTTGCCGTCAATTTAAATAATAGCGACGTTTTAACCAAATAATATTAATGGGCAATTGTTAATAACGCTTATTTCGCTCACTTGGATAATCGAAAAAATCAAAAAATTCTTGAAAGAAGCACAATAATCAAATGATTTTTATAATCTACGAGTTCGCCGTCAACTTAACCAATAGCGACATCTATCGGATGACACTTAAAACGTCTAAAGGATATCTACCTAACCGAACAATATTAATTGAAAATTGTTAATAACGCTTATTTTGCTCATCCTTTATCGTTTTTGGATAATCAATTAGTTGATTAATCAAAAAATCTTTGAAAAAAGCACAATAATTAAATGATTTTTATAACGTTCTATAGTGAATATATTCTTAAAATAATAATAGATGGCGCCATTTATTTTAATATGTTAATAAAATTTTAAACAATTTTAAAAGATTAACCATCTCATTCAAAATTTCTAATAATTTATACCACGTGTGGACAATTATTAAACACTCGATAACAATTTTTTTATCTACTTTATTAACACAATCGTTTTTCCTTTTTTATCAAACACAATGAGTCACGCAATTAATAGATATCGCATTTAATCCCATCAAACAATTAAAAGAACCACGCCTAAGCAAATTAATTAATTTATTTAACAATAAAATCAAAATAATTTTGATTTATTTATTTTTGCGAAAATGCCGTCCTTGAAATTATCGATTCCAACACATCCCATCCCATTCTAAATCTTCCTCTCTCTCTCCCCGATTAGAAAGAGACAACGAAATCTCGTCGCCCACTCGAAAATCGAACGTCACGATAAAATAATCATGGCGTTCGCGTTAACATATCGCGAAATCTCAAGTTGAAATAATTAATCGTCGCTTAGTTATTAGTGAAAAACGATTATTAATTAAAAAGGAGAAAGGGAGAATTGAGCAAAATTTTTTTTGTTAGAGTGACGTAGAGAGAGAGCGAGAGATAGAGGTCAAGGATAAAATAAAATGAGAGACCGTCGCGGCGGCGTCTCGACGACGACGGGTTGGTCTCGTCGATGTCGTCGTCGATTTAGCACAAAAAAAGTAAATATTAATTATTCATAATTTTTCGTTAAATAATAACAAAACCCGACGGAGGAGTGTATTTGCGAATGTGGCGCCGCGAGGTTAGGATCAACGTAGCAATTTTTTAACAAATGCCGAACGACATCAACGGGTGCAAAAACGAAGAAAACGCGCTCGATTTAAATCCAATTTTTTTCGTTAACAAAAAGAGATGATGGTTGCAGAAAAGATTTACGATAACGATTTGAGCTATCCTAGAGAGGAGCCGAAAAAATGTTTGATTTATCGAATTTTCGGTAAGTATTTAAACAATTTTTATTAAGTTTTATGTTTCGATCAATAAAACTGCTGAACTCGGCGTTAATTTATTTGATAACGAATGTTTTAAATACGCAACGCGTCCGGCTTCTTCTGTTTTATTAAAAACGACCTTGATATTAGCAAAAAAAAGGAAAATTATTTTAAATTGATTTCTATTTAATTATTAGCAATTTATATTTCGTTGCGTGATCGAAAACATTTTCTTTATTGTTGTTTGTTCGAGCTACAACAACACGGAAAAATTCCTAGAACGAAATCATAGGATACATTCTTGTAATTTAAGCGTTCCAACTTCATCAACTTTTCAAAGTTTCGTATTTTTTTCGATATTGCCTTATCTGAGAGCAAATATACAATAGAGCAATATTGTTAAGAACAAAATTTGCTACAACTTTTGTTCTAAAAGTTTTTTGATAACATGCTCCGATTCGCAAATATTAACACTAGTAAAACAAAAAAATTCGTAAAATTTTCATATTTTCGTATTTTTCTCAATATTGACGCATCTGAGAGCAAATATACAATAGAGCAATATTGTTAAGAACAAAATTTGCTACAACTTTTGTTCTAAAAGTTTTTTGATAACATGCTCCGATTTCCAAATGTTACCATTAACACTAGTAAAACAAAAAAAATTCGTCAAATTTTCATATTTTTCTCAATATTGACGCATCTGAGAGCAAATATACAACAAAGCAATATTGTTAAGAACAAAATTTGCTACAACTTTTATTCTAAAAGTTTTTTGATAACATGCTCCGATTCCCAAATATTACCATTAACACTAGTAAAACAAAAAAATTCGTCAAATTTTCATATTTTCGTATTTTTCTCAATATTGACGCATCTGAGAGCAAATATACAATAGAGCAATATTGTTAAGAACAAAATTTGCTACAACTTTTGTTATAAAAGTTTTTTGATAACATGCTCCGATTCCCAAATATTACCATTAATACTAGTAAAACAAGAAAGTTCGTCAAATTTTCATATTTTCGTACTTTTCTCGATATTGACGCATCTGAGAGCAAAAATAAAAGAGAGCAATATTGTTAAGAATAAAATTTACTATAACTATTGTTTCAAAAGTTTTTATGTAATATGCTCCCTTTCCTAAACATTATCTTTAATATTTTGGAAAAGAAACAATTTTTTCAAATTTTCGCATCTAAGAGCAAGAGTACAAGAGAGCAATATTGCTCCAATGTGGTTTAATAAACAATTAATTTTGTATTGAATAAAAATTCCTCGAGGTTAGATAATAAAATTAAAAAAAAAAAAAAAAAAAGTGAGGTTATCTCGATAAATTAATAAAATATAAAGTTGTGATTTACGAGAAGCTTAATTTTTATGACTTACCGCTTATTTAATTTATGATTATTGCGTTAAACAATTAATTTCATTTGGATTTAATTGCTAAAAAAATTTTTAGGTTAATATCTGTCAAATTAAATTAGTAGAATAAAAAGTGGCGCCATCTATTGACTTATTACATCAAATAGTAAGGGGTGCCAAAATTGAAGAAAAGTTAATAACCATATTATAATTTATCGACCTTGTTCTAGATCATTTTGCACACAAAACGTTGTTAATAAGGATGTTTGTTTCGGCTGACAGGTGATTTGTAAATCAAAAAGTTGTTGGTTTACCTTGAACCAATTGAAGAAGAAAATAACGTTATAAAATAATTAATAATTTTTAATGACTCAAAGCGTTTTTAAGCCAAGTCATTAAGTCTTATCGAATTATTTCAAACGACGAAACTAAATCCAATGAGTAATTAACAGAAATATTTAAATTTTTATAAAAATGACTAATTTTATGATTAATATTCAAAACAATTATTGTAAAATAATAATTCAAAAATAACACAACCTCAAATTAAAAAATTATTTATTAATTTTTTTTTTTTTGAAGTTGGTGGATATGAAAGTTGACAGTTGGTGGATATGAAATTGGCCATCTTGCCCTATCTTGTTTTGACAGATTGTCAAATATCTTAATAAATTTGTTTGCATTAATTTGTAAACAACAACATTTTACTAAGAAACAATTAACAGAGCTTTTAGGTTATCAAGATTTATAAGAGGAAGATGTTATTCTCCAGCAGGTAGAAGTGAATCATTGGAAATACCAATATTTTTATATCTTTCTGGTGAAGATTTGAGGAGCATCATTTAACATAATTTAATATAATTCAAAATGATGCCACACAATAAACATTAACAGAAATCCCCCCAAGTTTGAGATAGTAAACTAAAAGATTATCAACCAAAGTTAATTGTAAAAATAAATTAAACGAAAAACTGTCAAAATATAAATAAAATAAAATATCCTAGTAGTCCCTATAGCCTAATAAAATATCGGGCGTATCATTTAAAATTTTCGATTTTCTTGCCATTGAACGCGGAAAAAAGAGAATTCACTTCTTGACCATTCTGTATAAGATACTATAGCAAGACGTTGTGGTCTACTTCCGGGAAACCGGAAGTGGCCACCATTTTGAAAATACTTTAGATCGAAAGATCGGTATGAACCTCCTATTATATCGGTATGAACCTAAATTTCAGAAACGTAGATATAATGGAACAGAAATGAAATGGGTGTTGCTGACTTTTTGGCGGACATTGTATGATAACTAACTTCAGGTGTAAAATCTCAACCTCAATTTTGACATATTTGTAATCTTCATTAAAAATCCTTTAAAATGAATACAAACACGACATATTTATGTTCAATATTAACGAACTTATGGACAACTTCCGGTTAGAAACGTCAACCTCAATTTTGACATAAATGTAATCGTCGTGAAAAATCCTTTAAAATGAGCCCAAACATGACATGTTTAATTCCAATATTACTCGAGATATAAGCAACTTCCGGTTTGAAATGTCAATGTCATTTTGACATGTTCTTAATTTTTATAAAATGTGTTAAAATTTGTCACAAAAACAAAGATATAATAAAAAAAAACAAAAATTAATGTTGGTATTAATATTTAAAAATTAAATTGCTATCTTCATTGTTGCCAACTTCGGGTTTAACGTTTTTTATTCTAACTTTTTTGTGTTTTGAGGTAAGTAAATGCATCATGTTTGGACTCATTTTAAAGGTTTTTTAATTAAACATCTTTAGCGCATTTTGAAAAAGTACCCAGAATATGAATTTTTATTCAAAAAGCCAAAAAGTATACTGCCAGAAAAGTTATTGTTATTTTAAAACGTAAAGAATACGTTACAGAGCGCCCTCTACCGACTGTAGTAAAACGGACTCCATAATCGTCCTTCTAATGCCAAAAAACCTGCGTATACCAAATTTGAAAAGAATCGGTTGAAATACAAGTCTAATATTAAATAAAAATCAATCGAAAAATTTAATTTGAACAGCCTGTATCTCCAAAATAAAGCGTTTGTCGACCTATGTTTATATATTATGAAGTTTTTGTGTTAATTTTAAAAGATCTATCGACTGTTAAAGTCCTGCTACAAAAACCTGAAACACCCTGTATAATGAAAGAACACCATGAAGTTGTCCATTTGACTATTATATGATAACTAACTTCAGGTGTAAAATGTCAACCTCAATTTTGACATATTTGTAATCTTCATTAAAAATCCTTTAAAATGAGTACAAACACGACATATTAATCTTCAATATTAATGGAGTTATGGTCAACTTCCGGTTAGAAATGTCAACCTCAATTTTGACATATTTGTAATAAAAATCCTTTAAAATGAGCCCAAACATGATACGTTTAATTCCAATATTACTCGAGATATAAGCAACTTCCGGTTTGAAATGTCAATGTCATTTTGACATATTCCTAATTTTTATAAAATGTGTTAAAATTTGTAACAAAAACAAATATACAATGAAAAAAAAACAAAAATTAAGGTTGGTATTAATAATTGAAAGTTAAATTGCTATCTTCATTGTTGCCAACTTCGGGTTTAACGTTTTTTATTCTAACTTTTTTGTTTTTTCAGATAAATGCATCATGTTTGGACTCATTTTAAAGGTTTTTTAATAAAGAATACATCATGAAAGAACACCATGAAGTTGTCTATTTGTCTATTATATGATAACTAACTTCCGGTTAGAAATGTCAACCTCAATTTTGACATATTTGTAATCGTCGTGAAAAATCGTTTAAAATGAGCCCAAACATGATACGATTCATTTCAATATTACTCGAGATATAAGCAACTTCCGGTTTGAAATGTCAATGTCATTTTGACATATTCCTAATTTTTATAAAATATGTTAAAATTTGTCACAAAAACAAAGATATAACAAAAAAAAACAAAAATTAAGGTTGGTATTAAGATTTAAAAATTAAATTGCTATCTTCATTGTTGCCAACTTCGGGTTTAACTTTTTTATTCTAACTTTTTTGTTTTTTGAGAAAAATGCATCNTAATAAATTTGTTTGCATTAATTTGTAAACAACAACATTTTACTAAGAAACAATTAACAGAGCTTTTACGTTATCAAGATTTATAAGAGGAAGATGTTATTCTCCAGCAGGTAGAAGTGAATCATTGGAAATACCAATATTTTTATATCTTTCTGGTGAAGATTCGAGGATATGATTCAAAAAGATGAAACACAATAAACATTAACAGAAATCTCCCCAAGTTTTTCGATACCTAATACAAAATTAAAAAAGGCAAAGCGAATTTATAAAAAGTAAAACAAGCAAAATTGAAGCGCCAAAAAGAAGACTAGTTTTAAGCAAAAATTACACTTGGAAAATTTGTCGGCCGCCTAGAAACATTCGAGTTTAGCCCCATGTATCTCAGTAATACTAAAAAAAACACCATGAAGTTGTCCATTTGTCTGTTATATGATAACTAACTTCAGATGTAAACTGTCAACCTCAATTTTGACATATTTGTAATAAAAATCCTTTGAAATGAGCCCAAACATGTCAATTCCAATATTACTTGAGATATAAACAACTTCCGGTTTGAAGTGTCAATGTCATTTTGACATATTCCGAATTTTTATAAGATGTGTTAAAATTTGTCACAAAAATAAAGATATAACAAAAAAATGCTCTAAATTTTGATGAGTACCTTTTTTGTTTAAAAAAGTACACAGAATATGAATTTTTATTCAAAAAGCCAAAAAGGAAACTGCCAGAAAAGTTATTGTTATTTTAAAACGTAAAGAATACGTTACAGAGCGCCCTCTACCGGCTATAGTAAAACGGACTCCATAATCGTCCTTCTAATGCAAAAAAAACTGCGTATATCAAATTTGAAAAAAATCGGTTGAAATACACGTCTAATATTAAATAAAAATCAATTTAAAAATTTAATTTGAACAGCCTGTATCTCCAAAATAAAGCGTTTGTCGACCTATGTTTATATATTAAGAAGTTTTTGTGTTAATTTTAAAAGATCTATCGACTGTTAAAGTCCTGCTACAAAAACCTGAAACACCCTGTATAATGAAAGAACACCATGAAGTTGTCCATTAGTCTATTATATGATAACTAACTTCCGGTTAGAAATGTCAACCTCAATTTTGACATATTTGTAATTGTCGTGAAAAATCCTTTAAAATGAGCCCAAACATGATACGATTAATTCCAATATTACTCGAGATATAAGCAACTTCCGGTTTGAAATGTCAATGTCATTTTGACATACTCCTAATTTTTATAAAATATGTTCAAATTTGTCACAAAAACAAAAATATAATAAAAAAAATCAGAAATTAAGGTTGGTATTAATATTTAAAAATTAAATTGCTATCTTCATTGTTGCCAACTTCGGGTTTAACATTTTTTATTCTAACTTTTTTGTTTTTTGAGATAAATGCATCATGTTTGGACTCATTTTAAAGGTTTTTTAATAAAGAATATATCATGAAAGAACACCATGAAGTTGTCCATTTGTCTATTATATGATAACTAACTTCCGCTTAGAAATGTCAACCTCAATTTTGACATATTTGTAATCGTCGTAAATATCGTTTAAAATGAGCCCAAACATGATACGATTAATTTCAATATTACTCGAGATATAAGCAACTTCCGGTTTGAAATGTCAATGTCATTTTGACATATTCCTAATTTTTATAAAATATGTTAAAATTTGTCACAAAAACAAAGATATAATAAAAAAAAACAAAAATTAAGGTTGGTATTAATATTTGAAAGTTAAATTGCTATCTTCATTGTTGCCAACTTCGGGTTTAACGTTTTTTGGACTCATTTTAAAGGTTATTTAATAAAGAACACATCATGAAAGAAAACCATGAAGTTGTCCATTTGTCTATTATATGATAACTAACTTCAGGTTTAAAATGTCAACCTCAATTTTGACATATTTGTAATCTTCATTAAAAATCCTTTAAAATGAGTACAAACACGACATATTTATCTTCAATATTAATGAAGTTATGGTCAACTTCCGGTTAGAAATGTCAACCTCAATTTTGACATATTTGTAATCGTCGTGAAAAATCCTTTAAAATGAGCCCAAACATGATACGATTAATTCCAATATTACTCGAGATATAAGCAACTTCCGGTTTGAAATGTCAATGTCATTTTGACATATTCCTAATTTTTATAAAATATGTTAAAATTTGTCACAAAAACAAAGATATAATAAAAAAAAAAACAAAAATTAAGGTTGGTATTAATATTTAAAAATTAAATTGCTATCTTCATTGTTGCCAACTTCGGGTTTAACGTTTTTTATTCTAACTTTTTTGTTTTTTGAGATAAATGCATCATGTTTGGACTCATTTTAAAGGTTTTTTAATAAAGAATACATCATGAAAGAACACCATGAAGTTATCTATTATATGATAACTAACTTCAGGTTTAAAATGTCAACCTCAATTTTGACATATTTGTAATCTTCATTAAAAATCATAAATATACGTTCCAATCTCACCTAGCTTTTTACCTACTAAAACACGCCAAATATGCTTTTATGTTAACATCTTATGTTATTTTGAACATTTAAAACCTTTTTTGCAGGACTTTTTTTATCTAACCAATATTGATGTGCAACAAGTAAAATAATGCTCCTTTAAAAAATTATGTCTCTATGGAATAATACAACCACATAAAATGCTAAAACAATGTGAATACGAAGCCATAAAGTACGTTTTTATCTAATAATTATAAAATTAACCAAAAAATTTTCAAAACTATAGTTCAAGTAATAAATATTTAAATCTTACCTTAAATCAACCATTAAAGTTAATCAAAAACCTTGATATACAACAAATCAACACAACAATTTATCTTAACGTAAAAAGTTACTTAATTTATACAACTTCTAAGTCAAACTTTTGAGGTTATAACGAAACCGTGACGTTTGATTATCGTTGTTTTTAAAAACGCTTTTGATTGGTTAAAAAAAAATCGCGGGAATTATAAATTGGAGGGGGTTATAGAAACGACGAATTTCACGCCGTTGATTATAGATGGCGCCTCAAAACGTAAACAAATTGGGGATTATTTATTTATTTTTTTAGTTAGTTAGTAGTTAAGTTTTATAAAAATTTCAAAAGAAATTGAGGTTTTTGGAAGTGTTATTGTAATAATGTTTTTAATGAATAGCATTAAATTAATTTTATTTTATGTTTCAGGTCAAGTTCCGGCCCGTTTCGTCCTGTATTTATTATCATGGTCTGGATTTTTAGTATCATTTATGATGCGTACCGACATCAACTTAGCAATCGTCGCAATGGTAGAAGAACCGCAAAAAGAAACCGATCCAAACGTAACCGACCAATACTGTTTTGTTAAACAACCGGAGGAAGTTGATAGCGTTTCGAATAATAAATTAATGGTAAAAAATAAGGAAAAATTCAAGAATCATGATATGGCGTAAAAATCGACGATTTTTTTTTAATTAATGCGAAATTACCTAAAAAACACGTTAAAAATAAAAAGAAAGTGCGGAAAAGTGACTAACACTAGATTAACTAGCTACAGAAAAAATCACTTTAAAGTTTCCGAAGAAATGTTGACCTAACCTACAAATTCTTTATTTTATAGCCACGCACAAAATCAATCTGATACATTTAAAAGTAAAGTTATTTTCACTAAACTAGGTGAGATTACAACGTATTTTTACGGATGAAAGAATGTATTTGTTTCAAATATCAGAAATATGTTTTTTTTAATTTTTAGTTATAATTTACAGGAAACTGTAAATTTAATTTCTTTGACGACACTAAAAAAAAGTTTATTTTTAGCTTTATTCTCAAATAATAAGAAATAGACCTATCTAACCCCATATTTTTGTAAGCAGAAAAAAATAACCAATTTAATAAGCGAATAATCAGTGGTTGTTTCCATTTAAAAAAACGAAAATTGTCATAATATCTCAAAATCTAAAACCGAAAAATTTTCTTTGACTACGTCATCAAATTCTCTGCAAAAAAGTGTCCCTATAATGTCTGAGTTATAATACTCCACCTATAATAATAACCAAGATAATTACACTTGCTGGTTTCCTGGGTTACAGTTTCCTGTAAATTACGCTTCTATAACTGAAAATTAAAAAAACGTATTTCTGATATTTGAAACAAATATATTTGTTGAACTGTTTAATTTATATACGTTTTACACAAAAATTGGAATAGATTGCATTATTTCACATTTTTTATTACGATTTAATATTATTTTTAAATGACTTTATAAATTATCGATAGATGGCGCTCATATGCTTTGTTGTGATGAAGTGTCACTTCAAAAATCCTGTTTTTGAGATCAATTACGAAAATTTTGAAAAGTTTGACATGTTAGATATTAAAAAATTATTTGTTTTTAAATACCAGAAGTTATCTTCGTATTTAATTGTTAACTTTTTAGATTTTACCTACCGCCCCGTAACTTACAGGAAACTGTAAATTTAATTTCTTCGACGACACTAGATGGAAATTTTTTTAAAAATGTTTATTTTTAGCTTTATTCGCTGTTCGGACATCGAATTTGAACCACCCTGTTTATAATAATCATTATTTTCAAGCGTATGATACACTCCTAAAGGTTGGTCCATTCCTCCTGACTCACCTGTATATTGAATGCATAATATTCAGACTTAATTAAGTTATATATCATTACAAATAGTACGGCTTTGTATCTATATTTCATAGAAGTAGCTCCTCGGTCGAAACCGACCTCGGGTTAATTGCATAAATGACTGATTCCAATCAAATGAAATCTAGAGAGATTTCATTTTTATTAAAGATTTATTATAACTTGACAAAATCTATAATAATTTTGATGTATTTAAAATAATTAATTATAATTCTCTACATCATTTTTAATACATTCTGTAGATTGGAATGACCGAAAAAAACAACAAATAAAAAAAATAATGAAACAGGTAGAGGTGGGCGCCAAGTTATTTGACCTTCATGACCCCAATTCCAACCAAGTTCGAGTGCCATTGTGACAGTCCAAGTGAAATATCGTGTATACGCCACTGTACGGTACTGAAAAACCGTTTCGCCTTAATAATTGTAACTGTTTTTCACGATTGAAGACACACTCGGTGTTATTTTCATTTTTAAACATTTCTCAATCATTTCATATTCTAAATTACTTTTGTAAACCGGAAGGAATAAACGTCTCGTTATTTTCGTTCGAGTACATAGTCTACTTTCTTTGATTTCTAAGGTACACAATTTCTTTCCTTCCGGGATACTCCATTTAAAAAAGAAGCGTTCTACTAGAAAACCCACTTCTTACAAATTGGTTTTGATGTAAAATTTCGTCACAATGTGACTATTTTCGATTCCGTTATATAAATTTTACGGTAAATCTTTTTAGATAGATGTTTTTCAATCTACATCATCATCACCTCTTTACATCTCATTTTAGAAATTTGATTTTTATCTTAATAATTTTAAATTCAAATATTTTTTACAATTTTATTAAGTGTAGCGGGATTTAAAGTTAGACCCAATCTTTTGATGTCTTCTACAAGATCAACCTGTTTAGCTATATAAAGCTTCTTCATGTTCCATTAGGTCAAATGGAAGTCTAAAACCGGTATTAGAACTGCTGCGATTAATTGTTCCTGTCTTCTCGTTCGTGCATCGTGGAATCCTGTAAAAGAATTGTATCTTGTTCGAAACAATACTAAAATATCTTCTTTGAGAACTTCTTCTACGTACTTGTTATTGACGTAGGAAATGCGAAGGAAATTTTAAAACAAATACTTTGTTGAACTTCCTTGGTTATGTTAATAATCAAAAAGTGAAAGCTTTTAGTACTTAAAAATTCAAACGACAATGTGCGCTTAAAGTTGTTATTATTGAAATGTGTATATTTACAAAAGATTATCTATCAATTAAAGGGAACGATCTCGTTTCCTTTTCCGATATATGTAGATTTGTGTCAGTNAAAATGCTTTAAAATGAATCCAAACTCGACATATTTACGAAAATATTGAAATTACGTCAAGAAAAACAAAATGGCGGGTTTTTTGTTGAATTCCTAACCTAACATTTTATTTTTTAACCTAAATAGGTCATGTTTGGTATCAAATTAAAAGCTTTTTGATTCTTATTACGATCATTTCAACTTTTATCAAAAAATAATTAAATTCAATTTTGACATTTGACAGTTTCTAACCTAACTTTTTCAATTTTTAACCTTAATAGGTGATGTTAACAAGTTTGATATTAAATTAAAGCATTCTTGGTTCTTGTTAATATTATTTTTATATTTATCAATTAATTTGATTTTGACATTTGACAGTTTCTAACAACATTTTCATTCTTCAACCTAAATATGTCGTATTTGGTATCAAATTAAAGCATATTTCTTGCTTATTAAGATTATAACAACATCTATCAAAAAATAATTAAATTCGATTTTGACATTTGACAGTTTTTAACTTTTTTCATTTTTTGACCTATACACACCGTGTTTGACAAATTATACTTAACGCATCGTAAAGAAAATTAAAAATCCTTTAAAATAAGTCCAAACTCGACCTATTTATGTAAACATAAAACTTATGTTTAAAAAAAAACAAAATGGCGAATTATTTAAAATTCTTAACCTAACTTTTTGGTTTTTTGATTCTAGTTCTAGGTGTTGTGTTAATTCTAGTGATAGTGTTAGTGTAAAAGTAGAACTAACACTAGACCTAGAACTAGAAAGTATCGTAATGTTTTTTTTTCGCAATTTTTCATTTATTATCACCAAAAATAATAATATTTTCGAAAAGAACAGAAAATTTTAACCTAATTAGATGTATCACACCCCATATCAATCTTAAAATTCGCGAATAAATCTTTAAATGACACAATTAATTAGTGTTTTGTTTTCGGCCATCTTGATTTTATAAAAACAATGATATCTCGGGTGCTATAACACTCAGATATGTCGAGTTTGGACTCATTTTAATCGTCTTTTAATTCTCCACAACAATATTAACGAATTATTTATTTTCGGCCATCTTGGATTTTATGAAAATGTCAAAATCTCGGAATTTTATTAACTAAATAAGTCGTATTTAGATTCATTTTAAAGGATTTTTCATTAAAATCAAAAATATTTAACAATTAAATTTGATTTTTTGTGATTTTTCCCTTATTATCACAAAAAATAATAATATTTTCGGAAAGAACAGAAAATTTTAACCTAATTTGATGTATCACACCCTATATCAATCTTAAAATTTGCGCAAATGACACAATTAATTAGTGTTTTGTTTTCGGCCATCTTGATTTTATAAAAACAATGATATCTCGGGTGCTATAACACTTAGATATATCGAGTTTGGACTCATTTTAATCGTCTTTTAATTCTCCACAACAATATTTACGAATTATTTATTTTCGGCCATCTTGGATTTTACGAAAATGTCAAAATCTCGGAATTTATATTAACTAAATAAGGCGTATTTAAATTCATTTTAAAGGATTTTTCATTAAAATCAAAAATATTTAACAATTAAATTTGACGCAATCGCAATTTTTTCCTTATTATCACCAAAGATAATAATATTTTCGGAAAGAACAGAAAATTTTAACCTAATTTAATGTATCACACCCCATATTAATCTTAAAATTCGCGCAAATGACACAATTAATTAGTGTTTTGTTTTCGGCCATCTTGATTTTATAAAAACAATGATATCTCGGGGGCTATAACACTTAGATATATCGAGTTTGGACTCATTTTAATCGTCTTTTAATTCTCCACAACAATATTAACGAATTATTTATTTTCGGCCATCTTGGATTTTATGAAAATGTCAAAATCTCGGAAATTATATTAACTAAATAAGTCGTATTTAGATTCATTTTAAAGGATTTTTCATTAAAATCAAAAATATTTAACAATTAAATTTGATTTTTTGTGATTTTTCCCTTATTATCACAAAAAATAATAATATTTTCGGAAAGAACAGAAAATTTTAACCTAATTTGATGTATCACACCCCACATCAATCTTAAAATTCGCGCAAATGACACAATTAATTAGTGTTTTGTTTTCGGCCATCTTGATTTTATAAAAACAATGATATCTCGGGTGCTATAACACTTAGATATTCGAGTTTGGACTCATTTTAATCGTCTTTTAATTCTCCACAACAATATTAACGAATTATTTATTTTCGGCCATCTTGGATTTTATGAAAATGTCAAAATCTCGGAATTTTATTAACTAAATAAGTCGTATTTAGATTCATTTTAAAGGATTTTTCATTAAAATCAAAAATATTTAACAATTAAATTTGATTTTTTTGTGATTTTTCCCTTATTATCACAAAAAATAATAATATTTTCGGAAAGAACAGAAAATTTTAACCTAATTTAATGTATCACACCCCATATTAATCTTAAAATTCGCGCAAATGACACAATTAGTTAGTGTTTTGTTTTCGGCCATCTTGATTTTATAAAAATGATGATATCTCGGGTGCTATAACACTTAGATATATCGAGTTTGGACTCATTTTAATCGTCTTTTAATTCTCCACAACAATATTAACGAATTATTTATTTTCGGCCATCTTGGATTTTATGAAAATGTCAAAATCTCGGAATTTATATTAACTAAATAAGTCGTATTTAGATTCATTTTAAAGGATTTTTCATTAAAATCAAAAAAATTTAACAATTAAATTTGACGCAGTCGCAATTTTTTCTTATTATCACCAAAAATAATAATATTTTCGGAAAGAACAGAAAATTTTAAGCTAATTTGATATATCACACCCTATATCAATCTTAAAATTCGCGCAAATGACACAATTAATTAGTGTTTTGTTTTCGGCCATCTTGATTTTATAAAAATGATGATATCTCGGGTGCTATAACACTTAGATATATCGAGTTTGGACTCATTTTAATCGTCTTTTAATTCTCCACAACAATATTAACGAATTAATTATTTTCGGCCATCTTGGATTTTATGAAAATGTCAAAATCTCGGAATTTATATTAATTAAAAAGTATATTTAGATTCATTTTAAAGGATTTTTCATTAAAATCAAAAATATTTAACTATTAAATTTGATTTTTTGTGATTTTTCCCTTATTATCACAAAAAATAATAATATTTTCGGAAAGAACAGAGAATTTTAACCTAATTTGATATATCACACCCCATATCAATCTTAAAATTCGCGCAAATGACACAATTAATTAGTGTTTTGTTTTCGGCCATTTTGATTTTATAAAAACAATGATATCTCGGGTGCTATAACACTTAGATATGTCGAGTTTGGACTCATTTTAATCGTCTTTTAATTCTCCACAACAATATTAACGAATTATTTATTTTCGCCCATCTTGGATTATATAAAAATGTCAAAATTTCAAAATCTCGGAATTTATATTAACTAAATAAGTCGTATTTAGATTCATTTTAAAGGATTTTTCATTAAAATCAAAAAAATTTAACAATTAAATTTGACGCAGTCGCAATTCTTTCAAAAATAATAATATTTTCGGAAAGAACAGAAAATTTTAACCTAATTTGATGTATCACACCCCATATCAATCTTAAAATTCGCGCAAATGACACAATTAATTAGTGTTTTGTTTTCGGCCATCTTGATTTTATAAAAACGATGATATCTCGGGTGCTATAACACTTAGATATATCGAGTTTGGACTCATTTTAATCGTCTTTTAATTCTCCACAACAATATTAACGAATTAATTATTTTCGGCCATCTTGGATTTTATGAAAATGTCAAAATCTCGGAATTTATATTAATTAAAAAGTATATTTAGATTCATTTTAAAGGATTTTTCATTAAAATCAAACATATTTAACTATTAAATTTGATTTTTTGTGATTTTTCCCTTATTATCACAAAAAATAATAATATTTTCGGAAAGAACAGAAAATTTTAACCTAATTTGATGTATCACACCCCACATCAATCTTAAAATTCGCGCAAATGACAATTAATTAGTGTTTTGTTTTCGGCCATCTTGATTTAATAAAAACAATGATATCTCGGGTGCTATAACACTTAGATATATCGAGTTTGGACTCATTTTAATCACCTTTTAATTCTCCACAACAATATTAACGAATTATTTATTTGCGGCCATCTTGGATTTTATGAAAATGTCAAAACCTTGGAATTTATATTAACTAAATAAGGCGTATTTAGATTCATTTTAAAGGATTTTTCATTAAAATCAAAAAAATTTAACAATCAAATTTGACGCAGTCGCAATTCTTTCAAAAATAATAATATTTTCGGAAAGAACAGAAAATTTTAACCTAATTTGATGTATCACACCCCATATCAATCTTAAAATTAGCGCAAATGACACAATTAATTAGTGTTTTGTTTTCGGCCATCTTGATTTTATAAAAACGACGATATCTCGGGTGCTATAACACTTAGATATATCGAGTTTGGACTCATTTTAATCGTCTTTTAATTCTCCACAACAATATTAACGAATTATTTATTTTCGGCCATCTTGGATTTTATGAAAATGTCAAAATCTCGGAATTTATATTAACTAAATAAGTCGTATTTAGATTCATTTTAAAGGATTTTTCATTAAAATCAAAAATATTTAACAATTAAATTTGACGCAGTCGCAATTTTTTCAAAAATAATAATATTTTCGGAAACAACAGAAAATTTTAACCTAATTTGATGTATCACACCCCATATCAATCTCAAAATTCGCGCAAATGACACAATTAATTAGTGTTTTGTTTTCGGCCATCTTGATTTTATAAAAACGACGATATCTCGGGTGCTATAACACTTAGATATGTCGAGTTTGGACTCATTTTAATCGTCTTTTAATTCTCCACAACAATATTAACTAATTAATTATTTTCGGCCATCTTGGATTTTATGAAAATGTCAAAATCTCGGAATTTTTAACAGTATGTAGCATGCAAGTTAAAAACGATTAAAAAAAGCCACATGATGATTCTTGAATTACACCAAAAAATGATTTATCATTTATCCTAACATTAATTAATGACTTTTTTTAGGATTACGGGGGAACTTTGCAATGGTCGGCTGATATACAAAGTTACGTTTTGGCATCGTTTTATTGGGCGTACATAATCTCGCAAATAGTCGGTGGTTTAGCAACTCAAAAATTGGGCACAAAACGAGTTTTTGGGTACGCCCAGCTCGCCACGGCCATTTGTAGCCTTTTAATACCTTGGGCGAGCGAAACACATTACGGATTTGTTATCGCATTAAGAAGTATTCAAGGATTTGCATCGGTACAAAATTAATATTTTTTGAATCTTAATCGTTTTAATTAATTTTTTTAGGGTTTAACTTGGCCCGCTATGTACGCTTTAGTCGGCCATTGGATCCCAGTTCCAGAAAGGAGCCGTTTCATGTCTAGTTTTCAAGGATTTAGCATCGGAATCGGGATAACTTATCCTTTGTGTGGATTTTTAATCGCAAATCTCGGCTGGAGGTCGGTTTTTTACACCACCGGTTCGATCGGGGTTATTTGGTGCTTTATCTGGTATTTATTAGCGTTTGATTCGCCGGAAATGCATCCAAGGATCTCATTAAGCGAACAACAATATATTAAAGAAAATACGGTCAATACTTATGAATCGTCGCGACAAACAACCGTACCTTGGATGAAAATTTTGACTTCCATGCCGGCTTGGTCGATTGGTATCACGACTTTTGGACGAATTTGGGTTCATTATACTTTTATTGTTCCGGGACCAAAATATATGCACAGTATTTTAGGATTTAGTATTCAACAGGTACTTAAATGTATAATTATTCATTAATCCTTGATTCAATTTTGTTGATTTTTTTAGAATGGAGTTTTATCAGGAGCCCCATTTATTTGTAGTTATATAGCGAGCGTTGGGTTTTGTTATGTCGCCGATAAATTAGTCACAAAAAACATTATGTCATTAACAAACGTCAGGAAATTATTCACCGCTTTAGCTCAAGTATTACCTGGAATCCTAGTTTTTTTAATCCCCTACTTAGGCTGCGATTACCACTTAATTTTGGTGTTATGGTTCATCGCCGTCACTTTCATCACTGCAGCTTATGCAGGAGCTATGGCTAACGTGGTTGATATCGCCCCAAATTTCGCCGGGCCAGTTTTAGCTTTCGCACAAACCATCCACATGACAGCGAGCTTTTTAAGCCCATTAGTAGCTGGGAGATTAACTTACGATGGGGTAAGACCACAAAAATTAATTATTACCCAATTAATTATCTTTTTTTAGCACACTTTAACTGCTTGGCGCAACGTTTTTAACGTAACAGCATTCGTGGCGATCTCCACGTACGCTGTTTATCAAATTTGGGGCACCGGCGAGATCCAACCTTGGAATTACACCCAAGAGTGCGAAAATATCGCAAGGGAGCAAGAGTGCATGTTGGAAAAAGGCGGGAAAAATAGCGTTGAGGGAAAAAATCCACAAGAAAATGAAACAAGAAATAACGGCGCGATCGCATAAACGTAACAATCATAATTATGTGTAATTAATTAATTAAAAACGATTTGTATGCATTAAAATAACTTAAAAGCGGTGGTAGTTAAAACGAAAAATACTAACAACAAGATTTGTTGATGTTAAAAAGGCTGTGTTGAAAAATTATTTAACAAGAAAATTTTATGTCTTAACAAAAAGGGGGTAGCTCTCTAAAATTCTTATTTTATTGGATTTATAGGTTTAGAAATAATCTCGAAGAGGTGTTTTGTGATAGGGACGAGACGAACAATAATAATCTATGTAAAAAGAAACAATCCGTTCCTAATTCTCTATTTTTCCTGTATTCTACGATACATCTAATCTCTTTCTCAGGTATACTCTAAAAATGTTTTTAAATGATAAAACGTTTAACTCTGTCAGTATCATCTTCACAAATCATTCCATTTACGATAGAAAAATCCGTACTATTATAAATAATTAAATTCTTTTAAATAAAATTGTTTAAAAACGAGGTTATGTTTAACACTTGACGTTTTATTTTTGTAAATTGAGGTTATTTATTAAAATTCGTTTTGTATTATTGAAATATGTTATTAAAAAAATTATATGGAATAACCTAAAATTGTAAAAATTAGTTTATTTTTTCACCCTTTGTGTCCCAAGAAAAAAATAAAAATTCTGAATGAGACTTGTTCTAAATTAAAGCTCAAAGCTTTCTCTTTAAAATGATGTATAATAATTGTTGGGTTGGATTGGAAAAATATTGAGAAAAAAAATGTTGAAACAAACTTTACATTTTCGTATAACCTAAAAGTGTCAAAAAAGATGCTAATTTAAAAATTCTTGGAAGCCGTATTTATTGAAATTACGAAATGAGACTTGTTCTAAATTAAAGGTCAAAGCTTTCTCTTTAAAATGAGGTATAATAATTGTTGGGTTGGATCAAAAAAATATTGAGAAAAAAAATATTGAAATAAAACTTACATTTTCGTATAACCTAAAAGTGTCAAAAAAGATGCTAATTTAAAAATTCCTGGAAGCCGTATTTATTGAAATTAAGGAATGAGACTTATTCTAAATTAAAGCTCAAAGCTTTCTCTTTAAAATGATGTATAATAATTGTTGGGTTATATTGGAAAAATATTGAGAAAAAGATGTTGAAACAAAACTTACATTTTAAAACGACCTCAATTTAAAATTTTTTTTTTAAGTTGGTGGTCCTAAAATTGGCCATCTTGCTTTATCTTAGTTTTGACAGATAAAAAAATATTTTAATGTTTAAAAAATCTTAATACAATTCAAAACCTTTATGGTGGTTTTGAATTGAGACGTCAAGGTCACAAATTTGTAAAAAATTACACAATAAACATTAACAAAGAAAAAAAATTATGTGAATATGGTGATAAAGTAAGTTTTCATGTAATAATTACAAAATTAATCTAAAACTCATCTAAGATCTTTCAAAATTATCATTTAAGTAATAAATATTTAAATCTTACCTTAAATTAATTGCTAAAACTAACCAAAAACACAACAATTTATCTTAACGTAATCAAAATCAAACTTTTAAGGTTAAAACGAAAACGTGACGTTATGAATGTTGTGGTGTTTGGTTACCATGACAACGCTTTTTAAAACGCGTCCGATTGGTTAAAACGCCGGCATTATATATTTGAGCGGTTCCTGTACGAAATTAACGCCGTTGATTATAGATGGCGCCTCAAAACGTAAACAAATCGGGTGTTATTTTTTTAGGTTAAGATATAGAAAAAGTTATTTCCGAATGAATTATGTACTCAATTACTTGTAATTAATTAAGAGAGCTGTTAGGTTATCAAGATTTAAGAGACAAAGATGTTATTTCCCAGCAGGTAGAAGTGAATCATTGAAAATACCAATATTTTTATATCTTTCAGATGAATATTTGGTGGGCCGTGATGAAACATCATTTAATTCAAAAAGATTGAGATGACACACAATAAACATTAACAGAAATATCCCCAAGTTGTTTGATAACAAATACGTAAATAAAAAAATGAGCAAAGCAGGTTTACGATAACATGGAAAAACGAGTATATAAAAAGTAAAACAAGCAAAATATGCTTTTATGCTAGCATTTTATGTTAACATGAACATTTAAAGCCTTTTTTTCATAACGTAAGTATTACGCTATATGTAATAATTATAAAATTAATCTAAAACTCATCAAAGCCATCATTTAAGTGATAAATATTTAAATCTTACCTTAAATCAGTTGCTAAAACTAACCTAAAACCACAAACACAACAATTTATCTAAACGTAATAAAAATCAAACTTTTCCGAATGAATTATATACTCAACAATCTAGGCATTTTACTCGGAAATTCTGTCTTATAAGTGAGGTTATGTTTAACGCTTGACGTTTTATTTTTGTAAATTGAGGTTATGTCGGTGTTTATTTATTAAAATTCGTTTTGTGTTATTGAAATATGTTATTAAAAAAATTATATGGAATAACCTAAAATTGTAAAAATGAGTTTTTTCTTTTAAATTATACCCAACTAAAGAAACCCCAAATTAAAATTTTTTTTTTGAAGTTGGTGGTCCTGAAATTGGCCATCTTGCTTTACCTAAGTTTTGACAGATAAAAAAATATTTTAATGTTTAAAAAATCTTAATATAATTCAAAACCACCATAGAAGACGTCAAGGTCACAAATTTGTAGCAAATTACACAATAAATATTAACAGAGAAAAAGAAAATGTGAATATGTTAATATATAAAGTAAGTTCTCATATAATAATTATAAAATTAACCTAAAACTCATCTAAGAACTTTCAAAACCATCACTTAAATCATAAATATTTAAATCCTACCTTAAATTAACTGCTAATTAACCAAAAACCTCAAACACAATTTTCTTAACGTAATAAAAATCAAACTTTTGAGGTTATAACGAAATCGTGACGTTTTGAACGTTGCGGTGTTCGGTTACCATGACAACGCTTTTTAAAACGCATTTGATTGGTTAAAAAAAACGCGGGCATTATAAATTTGAACGGTTTTTATAGAATCGACGAAATTCACCCCGTTGATTATAGATGGCGCCTCAAAACGTAAACAAATCGTTTTTTTTTTTTGAGGTTTGGATTTAATGAAATAAGTTAATAAGTTTTATAACAATATCAAAGAAATTGAGGTATTTTTAAATTAAAAAGTAAGTTTTACTCGGAAATTATCGTAAATATTTAAAAAAAAATTCTTTCTTAAAAGTGAGGTTATGTTTAACGCTTGACGTTTTATTTTTGTAAATTGAGGTTATGTTGGGTTTATTTTTCTAACTAATTATATAAAAGGAAACCTGTTAAGGACTCCGATGATATTAAATTAACATATATCTCGCTTTTATTTATTTTTGCCCATTTATTTATTATTTATAATTAACTCCAAACTACAATAAATATCGTGATTACTAATAATCCCTAATCCTATGTATATATTTTGTTCTAATTACATTTAGCCTCTAAATTTCAATGAAACTTTTACACCTCAAAATTAATATCACAATAAAAATCCCCAAATAAAAAAAAATTATTTCCTACCTTCAATTTTATCCTTATCTTTACCGTCTTTATCTCCTTTAATAATCCGGACCATTTTTAACGTTAACACGGCTAAAATGGCATCTAAAGGATCCATAAATCCGCGTTGCATCCATTTCGGAATTGTGGTCCGAGCGTGTGCGAATCCCAATTTTTGCAAAATATAATCGATCCCGTACGGCTCTAAATACTTTCCGGCTACGCTTAAAAGCCGGACCGTCGGCTCTAAATGCCACGTTTTGCAGTTGTAATTGCGCCAATCTTTCGCGAAGATGTCCCCTTCGAGATTTGGGGGTTTCGATTTCGACGCGGAATCACCACCGCTTGTTGAAGATGTTGATGGTTTTGTTGTTACTCCTCCAAGCTAAAATAATTAAAAAATTATAAAAAAAAGTTATAGTATATTATTATTATAATGTGTAAAAAAAGTACTTTGTCCACAACTACTTTTGAAATTTATTTTTCTAATACATTTTTGAATAAAGTTTAAACGTCAATGTGATACAAATTCAATGTTACCAACTGCAACCAACTTCACAACAATTTGTCAAAATTAAATGTCATTTTATGAAACGTCGCTTTTTTTACGAAAATTAATTAATTTATGCTTAAATCATAGGAAAAAAGGATGTGTTTTCTTAAAACAGGAATTTCTGCTTTTTAATTTGATGTATTACTTGTTTCTTAAATATGAAAAATAAAGTCATTGTGATTGAACAAAAACTTTAAACGCGTCCACTAACTAAGAAATTTTTTAAGATATCAACTTAATGCCCGGTTCACATTACTCCAGTCCAGTATTCCAGCGAGTCAATTCAGTCCAGTGGATTCTTAATTGATAACGTCATTTTTCTAAATATTCGCCTTTTGATTAATTTAGGTTGGCATAACGAATCCAGGAATATAATTGTTTATGAAATATGTTGTCCAGGTTAATAAAGAACATTTTTTGTATTAATCACATTTTTCCATCTCTTTTTATTCTTGAGATATCATCAATTTTTATGTCAAAAACGTCATTTTTCGGAATATTCGCTTTTTGAGTAATTTAGGTTGGTATAACTGATCGATGGGATACAAATGTTTATGGAACATGTTTCCTAAGTTAATAAAGAACATTTTTTGTCTGAATAACTTTCTCCCATCTTTTTTTATTCTTGAGATATCATCAATTTTTATGTCAAAAACGTAATTTTTCGAAATATTCGCTTTTTGACTAACTTAGGTTGGTATAACTGATCGATGGGATACAATTGTTTATTGAACATGTTTCCTAAGTTAATAAAGAACATTTTTTGTCTGAATAACTTTCTCCCATCTTTTTTTATTCTTGAGATATCATCAATTTTTATGTCAAAAACGTAATTTTTCGAAATATTCGCTTTTTGACTAACTTAGGTTGGTATAACTGATCGATGGGATACAATTGTTTATTGAACATGTTTCCTAAATTAATAAAGAACATTCTTTGCCCTAATCATTTTCCCCCATCTCTTTTTATTCTTGAGATATCATCAATTTTTATGTCAAAAACGTCATTTTTCGAAATATTCGCTTATTGAGTAATTTAGGTTGGTATAACTGATCGATGGGATACAATTATTTATGGAACATGTTTCCTAAGTTAATAAAGAACATTCTTTGCCCTAATCACTTTGTCCCATCTCTTTTTATTCTTGAGATATCTTCAATTTTCATGGCAAAAACGTCATTTTTCGAAATATTCTCGTTTTTTGAGTAATTTAGGTTGGTATAACTGATCAATGGGATACAATTGTTTATGGAACATGTTTCCTAAGTCAATAAAGAACATTTTTTGTCTGAATTATTTTCTCCTATCTCTTTTTATTCTTCAGATATAATCAATTTTTATGTCAAAAACGTCATTTTTCGAAATATTCGCTTATTGACTAACTTAGGTTGGTATAACTGATTCAGGAGATATAATCGTTTATGAAATATATTCCCAAAGTTAATAAAGAACATTTTTTGTCTTAATCACTTTCTCCCATATCTTTTTATTCTTGAGATATCATGAATTTTTATGTCAAAAATGTAATTTTTCGAAATATTCGCTTTTTTAGTAATTTAGGTTGGTATAACTGATCGATGGGATACAATTGTTTATTGAACATGTTTCCTAAGTTAATAAAGAACATTCTTTGCCCTAATCACTTTCCCCCATCTCTTTTTATTCTTGAGATATCATCAATTTTTATGTCAAAAACGTCATTTTTCGAAATATTCGCTTTTTGACTAACTTAGGTTGGTATAACTGACCGATGGGATATAATTGTTTATGGAACATGTTTCCTAAGTTAATAAAGAACATTCTTTGCCCTAATCATTTTCCCCCATCTCTTTTTATTCTTGAGATATCATCAATTTTTATGTCAAAAACGTCATTTTTCGAAATATTCGCTTTTTGACTAATTTAGGTTGGTATAACTGAACGATGGGATACAATTGTTTATTGAACACCTTTCCTAAGTTAATAAAGAACATTCTTTGCCCTAACCACTTTCCCCCATCTCTTTTTATCTTGAGATATCATGAATTTTTATGTCAAAAACGTAATTTTTCGAAATATTCGCTTTTTTAGTAATTTACGTTGGTATAACTGATCGATGGGATACAATTGTTTATTGAACATCTTTCCTAAGTTAATAAAGAACATTCTTTGCCCTAATCATTTTCCCCCATCTCTTTTTATTCTTGAGATATCATCAATTTTTATGTCAAAAACGTCATTTTTCGAAATATTCGCTTTTTGACTAACTTAGGTTGGTATAACTGATCGATGGGATATAATTGTTTATGGAACATGTTTCCTAAGTTAATAAGGAACATTTTTTGTCTGAATCACTTTTTCCCATCTCTTTTTATTCTTGAGATATCATCAATGTTTATGTCAAAAACGTAATTTTTCGAAATATTCGCTTTTTGACTAACTTAGGTTGGTATAACTGACCGATGGGATATAATTGTTTATGGCACATGTTTCCTAAGTTAATAAAGAACACTTTTTGCCCTAATCATTTTCCCCCATCTCTTTTTATTCTTGAGATATCATCAATTTTTATGTCAAAAACGTCATTTTTTGTTTTAGAAAACTCATTTATAAGGTATATATTATAAAGTAGTCGCGGACAAAATTATTAATTAAATTAATTCTTACAACTTTCTCCTTTTCCTTTAAATACGACGAAATTAAATCGTGCAAGAAAAAGAACGCTTCAGCGTCGACCGTTACAAAGATGTGGTCCTCAAATTCGGTGATGAAACTGCATTCAACGACGGGTTTTTCATCTTAAATTAAAAACGAATTAATTTTTATTTCAACTATTATTATTAATCTTTTACCAGTTAAATCCGGTGTAGTTGCCGTTTGTAAATGTTCCGTTTTTAAATGAAGTTGTAAACTGGGTAAAGCAAAAATAACTTCGCGATTATGATTCGGGTCGGTTAATTTTTGCGCGTTACTTCCCCTGGATCTTTCGATTGAATTATCTCGCTCCCTTTCTAACGAAGGAAATTTATCCACCTCTAAAAATTAATTAAAAATTAATTAATAATATTAAAAAATTAACGAATTTACCATCGATTTGGCTGTTGGCGAAAGCGTAATGGAACCACTCTTGGAGTGTTTTAAATTGAGGTGGGAAAATAACGCTCCTTGATACTTTGCAAACCATCGCCATGGATTGATGCGTTTTGTAAGTGCTAACTCCTAAGCTGCATTGCAAAGTTTGGACAACGTGGACGTCGTGTAAATTTGAATCTGTAGTCGATGGGATTTCTTGAGACTCTGTGTTAAAAGTAATGCATGGTTCCTTCAAACTAAACAAAGCCCACGAACGACTTTTGAAATTAATCCCGTGAAAACACGCCAAAGAAATGTTTTTTCCATGCAACTCCATATTCCCTCCTAAAACAGTCCCAGTTTTCGGTAAAGGGCTATGCATTGTCGATAATTGCAACCCAGCGACATCTGCTAAAACTTTTTGCCAATGCCTGTGATGGCGCGCATCTTGAATAACACCAATTTCCGATTTCGTAGATTCCCGACTTTTTTGAGGAGTAACCCTCGAAGGGCGATGATGATGACTTTGAGAGAATCCACTAAAAACTCTTTTACTGCTATTAAATTGTTGCGAAAAGAACTCTTCGAGTTTATTGTACATTTTTAATAAATCGGCCGTCGACGATTTCGACATCATTATTTGTAATTGGTTCCAAGATAAATCGCCGTGAATAAAAATACTCGCCGGGCGTCGCGTCACCGAAGCGGAAGTCACAGTTCGATTTAAACTCCAATCGTCGCGTAAATTTACGATTAAATCGCTAACTCGGCACATCAAAACGGAAGTTGCCATGTAATCTAACCTCAATTCTAAAGCGGCCAATCTTAATCCAACTATGTGATCGGGTTCTAAATCGGGCTCCTCTCTGATATGAATAAACGTATCGATATTAGCAATTTCGATGTTTCCCCCGACGATTCCACCTTTAGCATCTAACCCAGAACCTCCCAAACCAACCGCTATGTATAAATTTTTATGCCCCGTCGAGCCAATACTTAATCTCCCTTCACTTCGAAAATCCTTCGTCAACCAAGAAACGTTCCCCATCACATTCCCCATATTCATATGTACATTTAATTTTTTAAAATTAACCGCGAATAAAACCAAAGTTTCCCAAGCGGTTAAATTTTGATTTTGCTCCGATGGTGTTGAATTAGTATTAGCCGATTCCGTGCTGACCGTTCGCCCCAATTCCTTTGGCTTTTGTTGCCACAAATTGCTATCGTCCAAAGCGAGCTTTAATTTCTCTTTGTTGTTTAATAACGGGCTACGATCCGAATGCGATTTTTTCGAATCGTTTTTGGACGAATTCAACGATGCATTCAACGTGTCATCTTCATCGTTGGCTGGCGCAGACATGCTTAAATCGCCCAAAAACATCCTCCGGACGATCGAGCGTCGGTACCAAGCTTTGGGGAATGCTAAAATCTCGGTTAAGCGGCGCATGTCGTATTTAAATGAAGCAGATCCAATGTCGGTGATGGCTAAAAAATATTAATATTAAATAGAATACTATACTTTGTCCACGACTACTATTGAAATTTATTTTTTTAAATAAATTTTTGAATAAAGGTTAAACGTAATGTGACACAAATTCAATGTCACCAACTGTAACCAACTTCACATCAATTTGTCAAAATTAAATGTCAATTATATGAAACGTCATTTTTTTTAACGAAAATTAATTAATTTATGCGTCAAACCTTAAAAAAAAATTAAATTAAATTGAATTTCTAGTTTTAGTTTTATTTCTAACGCAAAATCAGTAAATTTTTTTAATGAAACGTCAAAAAATGACACTTGATAAAGACGCATAGGAGATAGCGCCATCTATCGGAAAAAGTCTAAAAATGTACGTTGGTAACTATATTCACATCATGTCAAATATTCTAACATAATTTAAAGTGACGAGAAAGCGAATTATTATTTAATTTATTTTATAACGTAAAACGTGTACGAGTGACTAAAACGAGCTTCTATGAGGCAAATTTCTTTTTAGTTTTATTTCTAAACTGAGTGAGTTAAATAAATTTTTTTAATGAAACGTCAAAAAAATGTCATTTGAAAAAATGAGGTTAGGTTGTGTTGGAAAAGTATGATTAAGAATCCTCAACATCATTTTTGAGTACCAACACGGCCGTTTTCGAAGACATCGGCCGCCCCTGGCCATTAAAACACTGAAAACCTTGAATTAGACATTTCGTGCTCTTGAGGGCGGTCGATGTCTTCGAAAACGGCCGTGTTAGCTTAAAACTATGCTGGAAAATGTATTATTTTTGTTTATCTATCTGTTCGTGCCAACCTCACTTTTCCAATTAAATCTAACTTCACTTTTCCAAGTGAGTTTATGGATTAAGGAATAAATTTATCTTTGTATATTCTTTTTCTTTTAAAGGAGATTTTTATTTTACATAATTTTTCTTCTTCCGATTATTAGTAACACATTTCAAACTTCTTGTGAATATTTTTCTTTGTATTTAAATACATGTATATAAATTTAGTATGACGTTTCGAGCGTAGTATTCGCCCATCTTCAGGTACTTAACACTACAAAGATCAAATTACTATAACCTATCTCGTTATCTCAACTAAAATTTAAAGAATTTCTGTGTTGTATGTTGTTTATAGACATGTATTAATTTAAATACAATGAAAAAAATTCACAAAGAGTTTGAAATGTGTAACATTCGGAAGAAGAAAAATTATATAGAATAAATTTATTTTTTTAATAAATTTTTGAATAAAGTTTAAACGTCAATGTGACACATTCAATGTTACCAACTGTAACCAACTTCACATCAATTTGTCAAAATTAAATGTCAATTATATGAAACGTCATATTTTTTTTTACGAAAATTAATTAATTTATGCGTCAAACCTTTAGAGGCCTAAAAAATTAAATTACATTGACTCAAATTTCTAGTTTTAGTTTTATTTCTAACGCAAAATCAGTTACAAAAAATGACACTTGATAAAAACGCATAGCAGATAGCGCCATCTATCGGAAAAAGTCTAAAAATGTACGTTGGGAACTATCTTCTCATCATGTCAAATATTCTAACATAATTTAAAGTGACGAGAAAGCGAATTATTATTTAATTTATTTTATAATGTAAAACGTGTACGAGTGACTAAAACGAGCTTCTACGACGCAAATTCCTTTTTAGTTTTATTTCTAAAACTGAGTGAGTTAAATAAATCTTTTTAATGAAACGTCAAAAAAATGTCATTTGAAAAAGTGAGGTTAGGTTGTATTGGAAAACTGATTAAGACTCCTCAACATCATTTTCGAGTACCAACACGGCCGTTTTCGAAGACATCGGCCGCCCCCGGCCATCGTGGGCGCAATAACATTGAACCTTGAGTTGGATCTCTCTCGTATTTGTGAGAATGAACATTTCGTGTTCTCGGGGGCGGCCGATGTCTCCGAAAACGGCCGTGTTAGCTTAAAACCAATACCAATACGGATCTTGGTCCGAATCTCACTTTTCCAATTAAATCTAACCTCACTTTTCCAAGTGACATTTTTTGAACGTTTCATTAAGAAAAAATTATTTTATTCACTCAGTGCATCCTCGAAGATTTTCTTTCATATTAGCGATTCATAAGAAGCGATCCCGCTTGAAACAGCCACAAAAAGTAAACTTACAAGATACGAAATATCCATTGAACCCAATCTAACCTCACTTTTTCAAGTGACATTTCGCCAAAGACGCACGGCATAACCTCAAATTTTCTAGTTTTAGGTTTATTTCTACGCAAAATCAGTTAAATACATTTCTTTATTGCCAACCGGCAGCAAAACCATACTTTATGCTATTCATTTGCGGCAGTAAAGTGACAATTTGTGCTGCTGTCTAATAAACTGTGTATTTAGCGGCAGGTAATAGTATATTACCAGTGGTATAATTAACCTGAGTGAATAATAGCTCATTATATGTGAGTAGAATACTTATACTTTGTCCATGACTATTAAAATTGATTGCATACATTTATTTTTTAAATAAAGTTTAAACGTCAATGTGACACAAATTCAATGTTACCAACTGTAACAAATTTCACAACAATTTTTCAAAATTAACTGTTAATTTTATGAAACTTTTTTTTTAAATTAATTAATTTATGGTTACGAAAAAAGTAATTAGTTTAAAATTAGCTATAAATTGGCCACGAATTAGCAATTTCTCGAAATTTGTAATACCGTGTGGGGTGCAGCTGCTACAGCAGAGGGTGTTAACTGGAGTCAAACGGTAGCCCAATCTTTCCTGAACATATTGTAGATGCTTCAAACAAATGTGAGTGCTTGTGCAAAACTGTTTCGGGTGCCCAGTCAAGGTCAAGTCATTTAAGGCGCCACTTTTAACAAAGATTAAAAATCTGTATGAAAATTCACGGCCACACCATCAGAGAACCACCAATCTTTCATTTCAACGTCTTCGTATTAGCTCCAGACCATCAGGTGATAGTAAACGTTCCTCCCTTGCTCGATCTCTCAATTCATATATAAGCGCGCAGATTGAAGACGCGCTCGTCGATATCTTGGAAGCAGCCTCGGTCCTTTGGCAACCTTCTTGCAGCCAGACCACTTCTAGCAAGTCTTCAGCGAATGGTTCTCTCACCGACATCAACAACATGCATCATTTAAAGATGACGCCGTGCTTCTACAGCTGTCGTTCTACGATTGCTTAAAACAATACAACGGTTATCAGCTATTGCCACTCGTCTTGTTTTCACAGGCGATCGCTTTAAAATACTGCATCTTCGTTAGTAACAGAGATAATAGAGTGAATAAAAAAACAAAATGCTCAGAAAAGATTGGGTTACCGTTTGATTCCAGTTAACACCCTCTGCTGTAGTAGCTGCACCTCACAGGTTATTACAAATTTCGAGAAAAAATGCTTTTCTCATTCTTGCACCCCGTATATGCAGGATTATTCGATCAAAAAAAGAATCATCAAATTGCATATTGCAATCTGGCACGTGTACAGCTCCAGCTTTTGATGTTTCCGGACTTTTTCTGTAGTTAGGTTGTTTCGTTTTGGACTCGCCAAGAATTCTTATTATCCAAGAGTAACTTACTTACAGCTCTGAGAACTTAATTATAAAGAAGCCTATTATATATCAAGAAAATTTATCTTAATAGAAGATTTTATAGCTGGCATAAAATTGCAATGAATTTCATCTTCATTCACGCCAATCTATAAAGTACAGATCATGCAAAGTTGTTCAGATTACGCAAGTTTCTCATATCTGGCACAAATAATTATATGATAAAACTTGTAAAGCAGTATTCAGTCTTCAATTAGCAGCCATCTATTAGTCTTTTACAAGGAGTAGTTAGTCATCAACAGATGTAGTATCATATTAGCGGTATCTAACATTCTGCCAGCAGAACCAGTATTCTATAAGGAGAATCTAGCCTTGTACAGGCCGTTTCTAATTTTTTGTAGTTTCCCGTTGGCAATATCTAGTATTACAAGTAGTTTTCGAAGCAGTTAATGCAGTATCTAGTCTTCCACAAGTCTGTAGCAAGCAGTATTTTTCTGATCTTTAATTATCTGCATTTAATCTCCCACAAGCATCATATCCTGTCATTTATAAGATGTACACATCCCTCCATTACAAATATCTACCCTTTTATAAGAAGAATTACGTCTTTTAGTAGTATCTTATTTCAATCGTGTATTAGCCTCTACCAGCAGAATCCAGACTTCCATAAGCAATTTATTGCCTTCTGCAAGATGTGTGTATTCATCTACAAGCAGATTTAGTATTCTATTAGCGGCATCTAGTTTTTTATCAGCCTTATCGAGTCTTTTATGAGGAGAATCTAGTTGTGTAATGACAACTATTAGTTTTCTAAAAGCACTATGCACTGTTTGGCAAACATAGTATAGTCTTGTATTAGCAATAGCTAGTCTTTTATTCTTACAATCTGTTCCTTCTTCTACCATAATGACAATGTCAGAACTGACACGTTCAAACACGTGCAATACGTCGGAAATAGTAAAGATATCTCCTTTATTTTCTTTCTGGCGCGTGTAAAGCTCATGTTTTTGATGTTTCCGGATTTGACTTTTTCTGTAGTTAGGTTGTTTCGTTTTGGATTTGCCAAGAATTCTTATCATCCAGAAGTTACTTAGAGCTCCGAGAACTCAATTATAAAGAAGCCTATTATAAATCAACAAAATTTATCTTAATAGAAGATTTTATAGCTGGCATAAAATTGCAATCAAATTGAAATTGTGGCAAAATTTTGGTGGCCGGTTTTTTTTTTGGCGGTCAGTGTATTATAAGGTAGTCGTGGACAAAAATATTTTTTACTTTTAATATTATACTTACTTGAGAATCGAATAACGTTTCTGCTTTGATCCGAAACTGCTTTCCCCCGAATCGGAGCTTCTTGTTGGAAATTTAACATCCTCGATCTCGTTAAGTGGAACTTCACAAACTCCACGTTGATGGATAACGAATCTTTTCGTTCGCTATCGGAAAGCGGCGACCATTGGGCTTCTTTTAACGCCGTTTTTTTGCCCCCGTAAGGGTGGAAAATGTAAACGGAGAAGTCGGATAAACATCCGGTTACGCTTAAACCCCCGATTGCTGTTGCTGCTGTATTCGGAGCTCCATCACCGAATTCACTAAAACAAAAAAAAGTTAATTTAATTTATTAATAAAATAATAAATATGATGTGGAGAGCGAAAAGACACCAGTTCTCTAAAAACAAATTAATTTTCGTAAAAAAAACCATGACGTTTCATAAAATTGACATTTAATTTTGACAAATTGTTGTGAAGTTGGTTACAGTTGGTAACAATGAATTTGTGTCACATTGACGTTTAAATTTTATTCAAAAATTTATTTAAAAAAATAAACTTATGGATCAATTTCAGTAATAGTCGTGGACAAAATATAGTATTCTAGTCACATATAATGAGTTATTATTATTCACTCAGGTTAATTATGCCACTAGTTATGCTCGTGACATAAACTTAACCTATTAAACAATTGTTATTATTATCAAAATTATAATTCAATCTTCAAAGAAAGACGTTAGCGTTACCAAATAATGTCCGCATATAATGCGTTAATATCCGCAAAAGATCAATGTGTGGAGCGAAATAATACGGGATACTGCCCTGAGTCTTACTTTTTGAGGGAACCTTAACTGGAGGGAGATATTTAGATTTTTTCAAAACGATATCATAATGTTGTCCCACATGAATTCCAATGGCAGTTATTCCAATAAAATAGCTCGCCACCACAGTTCAACAAGCTTTCTTAAATCAGTTTTTGACACTCAAGAAATTGTTTAAAAGAATTAGTTACCATAATTACTCATGGCTACTGCTATTTTTATCACGTCAAGCAAATTTGAAGAAGTTAATCTTTAAAGTAATCTTTCTCGACAATTTTCTTATCTAACCAATATTAATATTGAGTGTACTAGATTCAGAAAAAGGTCTTCTTTCATATTCTGTAATAAAAATAAGGGATAGCCATTTGAAAAAAATACCGATGACGTCATAACTCGCTTAAAAATGGCAGAAGAAATTAAAATTTACACCAAACAATTGCAAAAAATTTAAATCTTTGGACCCGTTTCAGGGATTTTTATATCCCTTACTTTATGGACACACTGTATAGTGTTTTTGCAGGAATATCTAAGTTAAAGTCTTCATCAAAGTTAAAATAGTGTGTAATCTTCTGCAAGCAGTATCCTGTCTTTCATAAGAACTTTCTGCAAGTAGCATGTAGTCTTTTTTAAGCAGTAACTAATTTTCTACCAGCAGTATCCAGTTTTTTTCATGTAGTCTTTTTTAAGAAAGCAACTTTTAGTTAGGCATGTTAAAAGCTTCTAAACAAAAAATTATTCTACTCACAACATTTTTGTACTTTTCTGTCTATATAATAAGAAATAAAACTAAAACAAGAAATTTTAGAGTTATGCCGTGCGTCTTTTCAAAATTTCTAGTCTTAGTTTTATTTCTAACGCAAAATCAGTTAAATATAATAATTAATACATTTTTTACGTTTCATTAAAAAAATGAAACGTCAAAAATGTCACTTGGAAAAGTGAGGTTAGATTTAATTGGAAAAGTGAGGTTGGGACGAACAAAAATAACACATTTTCCAGCACAGTTTTAAGCTAACACGGCCGTTTTCGAAGACATCGGCCGCCCCCGAAAACACGAAATATTCATTCTCACAAATACGAGTAGAGATCCAACGCAGGAAAATCGAATAGAAATTCGTATTTATCGCGGTTCTAAATTAGGTTAAAATGTTTGACATGATGAGAAGATAGTTACAAACTTTTTCGACAGGTGGCGCTATCTCCTATGCATCTTAAAGTGACATGTTTTGACATAGAAATAAAACTAAAACTAGAAATTTTGAGGTTATGCCATGCGGCAAAGACGGCAATATATTATTGGATATGGTTTTTGGGTTAATTCTAAACCTTTTTTGTATGAAATATTTTTTTCCATCGGTTATAATTATTGAGTTATACAAGATAATTGTTGAAAACGTCAAAATTTCTATTTTTGTTGGGTTGGGTTGGTACTGCTGATCGGTGGATTAAAATAACTTACTGGATATGTTTTATGGGTTAAATCTAAATCTTTTTTGTATGAAATGTTTTTTTCCATCAGATATATTTAATGAGTTATAAAAGAAAATTGTCGAAATCATCAAAATTTCTATTTTTCTTTAGTTGGGTTGGTAATTCTGATTGATGGGATAAATATCTTTATGCAGTACGTTTTATGAGTTAATTCTAAACGTTTTTTGGATCCTATGTTTGCGTTTTTTAAGTGACATTTTTGACGTTTTATTAAAAAAATGTTTTAACTCATTTTGTGTTAGAAATAAAACTAGAAATTTTAGGGTTATGCCGTGCGTCAAGACGCACTGCATAACCTCAAAATGTGGTGGTACTCGAAAATGTTGAGGATTTTTAATCACACTTTTCCAACACAACCTAACCTCACTTTTTCAAATGACATTTTTTTGACATTTCATTAAAAAAATTTAACTCACTCAGTTTGAGATTTAAAACTAAAAAGAAATTTGCGTCATAGAAGCTCGTTTTAGCCTTCGTTTTAATTTTAAATTTAATGCTATTCATAATATGATAAAATATACATCCAATATGTTTACATGATCCAAGAATGATCGATTTCAGCAGCTTCAAGGCGCATTTAGTTTTACAACTATACCCTTTCTCCAGAAAATCTACAATTAGGCCAACCTTGGCCAATATTATTGAAGTCTTATATACAGGGTGCCCATTATAATATATGGAATATCGTATATACATATCTTGGTAGGTATCAACTTTATAAAAAAACATTTTATACAAAAGTTGTTTAATATTTTATTTGCCATAATAAGACAGCATTCAATTGTTTTTATTTCAGAAAACAAATGAGNATATACAGGGTGCCCATTATGTATGGAATATCGTATATATCTTGGTAGGTATCAACTTTATAAAAAAACATTTTATACAAAAGTTGTTTAATATTTTATTTGCCATAATAAGACAGCATTCAATTGTTTTTATTTCAGAAAACTACTGAGCAACGAATTTTTAGATTTTTTTTAATAATATAATATAATATATACTATATTCCATACATAATGGACAACTGTATAATCTAGAGAGCGTATGCGGTGGTGGTGTTGGTAATCAGAAAGTCAGACATGTTGGATGTACCGACCTGAACTTAGCTATAGTTTCAAGTCTCTATTGTACCTACAATTATAACCTCACAATTCTCATAAACATATTGTTATTTTTATTAAAATTTGATTTTTGTTGAAAGTTTTCGAATTCTTTTCGTTTCACATATGTTTTTTATAATTTGATAAATTGGACGATTATTTACAACAGTCCATAAAATGTTTCTAGTTAGTTGACTTGGAATTAACAATTGAAGACCGCGGTATAAGAAGGGGACAACTCCTTCTCTTGATAAATGGAACTTACTCCCTTCTTGCACCGAGGTCTTCAATTGTAGTTCAAGTAAAGTTTATTATTAAGAACTGTTCAGTTTTTTTTAAAATACACTAACAATTATAAGCAAAGTGTAACGTGATCAATCAGAATTGCTTTAAATATTTTCTTCTTAGTTTATGTTAATTATAAGGGTTATGGCTAAAAATTGTTAAGTTCTTTTAAAATATCATATAATTAATAATTATTTATCAATAAAAAATTAATCTTTCCAGTTTATAATAATGTAAATTCTTGCATAAGTATATATAAGAATTTCGAATTTCCCGCTAAGTTAGTACATCTAACATGGCGACCTTTCTGGCTTCATTTTAGACGTGGTGGGGACAAAAGCATACGCACTCTATATTATACAGGTGTATCTGAATGACTGCAACAAACTTCAAGCGGTGTTCTTTAGTGAATTTTAAGGGTACTTTGATATATGAACCATGGGCGACTTCGGCTCCCCTAAGGAGCTACACCCCTCCAAAAATGGCGGAAAATTTTGGTTTAATTCTTTTTTCTCAAAAACCATAAATGCTAGGAAAATGAAATTTGGGGAATATGTTTAACTTATAATAGAGCAAACACTGCACGTTAAACAACGGGGTTGTCGATCAAAATTTGCAATGAATTTTTAATGAAAAAATCTTAGTAGGCTTTGCAATCTTTGTCAGAAATATTTTTGACGTTTAAATGTCAGTGTTTTTCTTACTATTATTACTGTTTTTAAATTAATTTTTAAATAAAGTTCTTTCGCATTTACGCTCGTTCACTCGATGTTCCAAAATTTTAAATAAAACAATAATAAAGCAAGAAAACCACTGACATTTAAACGTCAAAAATATTTCTGACAAAGATTGCAAAGCCTACTAAGATTTTTTCATTAAAAATTCATTCCAACTTTCGATTAACAACCCTACAGCTTAACAGTTAGTGTTTGCTTAATTATTTTTTTTCTCAGAAATTATTAATTTTTCGAAGAACATCAGAGAGACAAAAAAGTTTTAGAATGGTTTTATCTATCTAACTGAAATTTTTCCAATGTATTTATCATCTTCATAAAAAAATCTAAGCATAAATTGAACGGGCGTGGTTACGTTTAGTAGTTTAGAAGGATAGGTTGAAAGTACAAATAGGGTCAAAACGTGCCCTATTATAAGTTAAACATATTCCCCAAATTTCATTTTCCTAGCATTTATGGTTTTTGAGAAAAAAGAATTAAACCAAAATTTTCCGCCATTTTTGGAGGGGTGTAGCTCCTTAGGGGAGCCGAAGTCGCCCATGGTTCATATATCAAAGTACCCTTAAAATTCACTAAACAATCACCCCTTGAAGTTTGTTGCAGTCATTCAGATACACCTGTATATGAGACAAAGTACTATTGTAATCGTGCAAAAATTCGACCTATACATTTTGATGGATAAACACGTTTTGAGGTCCCCTGAGTCCATATTTACCATTTCCAGAAAATGTCTGTATGTATTTATGTACAGGGTGGGCAAATTTGGGTGTTATTATAGGCTATCTCAGAAACTATAAGAGATACGAAAAAAGTAGGTGCCATGTCCCGGTCTCTTTTTTCGATACTAACCCAATCCTGCAAACAAAAAACCTCTATCTTCTTTTGTTTTTAAGTTATAGCCAAAAAGTCAAATTTTCGTGATTTCAAAAAATGCTCATATTTCCTCTTTCCGGATCAGTTATTTGTAATTTTTTATATGTAAGTATTTACAATGTTTTGAATTCACTGCGTACGTCAATTTTAAATTCAAGCCATCTATTTATCAACTACATTAATTGCAGAAACCTTTTTCAAGACAGAACAATCAGAACAATCTCTGTAAACGACATTGATAGGGTAAGGGCAGGCCACTTCAGGTTCTTTATCATTAATTTCGTTTTAGACCATACGGTTGTTGTTATTCGTTATTTATTAATATTTTGTATTACTTTGAAGTGTTAATAAAACATTTTAAAACTTGTAAATAAAATTGTTATTTCAAATATGATGAATTTCTTAGTTTTAGGAGACAATTTCTCAGAGATCAAGAAAACTATTTAAATGAATAACATGGGATTTTAAGGACATTAATGACATTCAGCCTTGAATGTGCTGAAAATCGTGCTTTTCGCATATTTTAGGTAAGATATCTTGAAAATCTTAGGTGATGAAATAATTCTGACGTCAGATTCGGATTCAGGGCATCGAAAATTATTTGGAAGGTATAGTCTATGGTCTTTGGTTTAAAAATTTGTTGGCCTGTGTAATTTTTACATTAAACTGAAATGTAGCAACTATTATCGGACAGAAGAAGTACTTTTCAGCATTATTACACGTGATTATTATAAAGAAATTGTATTTTTGAGAATTACATTACTTTAAAATATTTTTAGCAAAATTAAACCATGCTAGAATTAAATATAAGCGGTTTTTATGAGCAAATTCGTCTTATACCCAACAAATTGAAAACGTGCCAGTTGTTAGACCCATATTATAACTTCATAAAGACCATTTTCTTACTAAGTTCGACTTCACAATCGAATTTAGCTCGTAAAAGAAAAATCCTATTATAATAACCGATTAAAAACTCAAAATCTATCTCTTTTCGCTTTCCGCATCACAAATAAAAAAATTACTTACCTTTGTAACAACTCATGTTCAGCCCGTTTCGAACTAAACACAATATCCAAACTAGGTAATTGCAACATACACTCAACCCTTGAAACTGGTAAACAACTAAACCTAAACGTACTAGGTTGCATGTGGAAATAAACGATGACATCAACCGGAAAACTTGCATAAACATAATTTCCATAATTAGTTCCATCTTGTTCTTGAACGGCGGCCGAAGTCGTATTAAAATTTGTTTTTGGCGGAATCGGGTCTAAACTTTGTTCTAAAAATTCTAAAATATGCGGGCTTATGATCGTCTCCTCCGGAACACTTTGCAAAGTCATCCAAGCGAATAACGAAGCTTTTTTGATCCCGCGATGTTTCTTTTGAGCACCATCGTGAGGTGGCGTCACGCTCATTTGAAACGGGAAATTATCCAAACTCGTTTTACTCGAAGACGGCGAACTGCCGTAATTTGGGTTGGAAATTCCGTGCAAAGAAGTCGACGATTTCATTTCGCCCTCTTCGATTAAAAAGGAATCTTGGCGTTTGAAAGCTTTTTCGATTCGAATTTCTTCGGATTTTTCAAATGTTAAATTGGAATCGTTCGAGAATTTGTTTGTGTAGAAGTCGGGAAATCCGTGGATGTTTTCTGGGAGGGTGGAGTCTCCTAAAAGATTTTCTTCGTTCACCACTTTTGATTGGTAGTATAATTTTACGTCCATTCCTGGGATGTGGAAAATTGTTAAATCGACTAAAGTTGTTGTGTGGGGGACGTTTCTTAATCGCGCGCTTGATGTTTGACCAGAAAGTTTTTCTTTATTTTTTCGCGAAGTATCAGGACTTCCAGATGTTGTTGGAAATTCTAATAAACCAGCTGAACAACTTCTATCTTTTCGCATTCGCCTAAAAACAAAATAATTAATTAAATTTAATAACAATAAAATAATAATATTAATTACAATTTCATTTCATCATCTTTTTCTTTATCTTTCGTATGCAAGACACATTTTCCACTGTTAATAAACACTTTGACGTCTAATTCAAGATCTATGTTGGGCTCTTGAGGTTTTTGGAACAAATTGGGCCCCGTTCCAGCTTGAGAAGAAAACGTTGTGTTACCAATAACTTGTTCTTTCGGGGGGGTTTCCTCATAAGAATCACCACCAAATTCGTACGGCAACTTTTTGCGTAAATCCACATTTTGCCCGTCGATATTTAAATGCTCGGCCCACTCAAAATTCGCTTCTGGTAAACTCAAGTCTGAACTTGCGCTCGGTAACGATGATTGCCTTTAAGAATTTAAAAAATAAAATTTGACAGTTATATGTGAGGTTATGTAACATTTTTAAATTTTAATCAAAACTATTTAATTGAAATGGTTACAAAAAAAGAGTGAATTTAAGCAAACACGTTAAAACCAGTGCGTACCTATCGATTTGATGCGTTTCTCCAAAAGTAACTCTCGGCCCGTCGGCGCTTCGGACTCTTAACGAGGCTGATCTTGATGGCCCCGAACGAGGCGAACTTTCGTAACTCGCCGAATTTCCACTTCCAGTACCCGCGTGATTATCTTCCGGGCTAATTTTTAGTGCAAAAAGACAAAGAAAATGAACAAAAAGCAAAAAAAAAAACGATGTGTAAAGTTGCAACTAAAATTTGTTTTGAGGTTATGTTGTGTTGTTGATGTTACATGTCAAAAATTAAAACATTTTTGATTAATTTAAAATTGATTATTTTTAATTAACGGCCGATTGTACAATTTAACGATAAATCTATCCCATAATGAAAGATATTTGTTGTAAAAACTGTTTTTGTCGGATTATTATCGACGAAATAAAAATAAAATCGGTTGGTAGCACTTTTAGTGATTTAAGCGATTTAAGTAAGTAACGCTAACGTCATTTTTTGGAATTTGTTTAGGTTTTTTTAAAACTAACTTTAAGTTGGATCTCTGTTCGCAACTTGAGTAAGCTGATATTTCGTGTTCTCGGTGGCTTACTTTTTGTAGCTGTTTCAATTGGTTCTTATAAATCGCTAAAATGTTATAAAGGGGATTAGTGAAGTGAGGTTAAATTGTAAAAGTAAGATTGGGACTTACATAAGAATTACCGACTTTACTGCTGATGTTATAAGAAATAATTGCGTCTTTGACGCACGGCATAACCTCAAAATTTCTAGTTTTAGTTTTATTTCTAACACAAAATGAGCTAAATACGTTTTCTTAATGAAACGTCAAAAATGTCACTTAAAAAAGACGCATATGAGGTAGCGCCATCTATCGGAAAAAGTCTAAAAATGTACGTTCGTAACTATCCTCATTATTTGACGTTTACAATAATAACGTAACTTCAAATGCTAAAAAATCAATTTATATCTTATTATTATCAAAAATAGCGTGCACATTTTAAAGGATTATGCAGCATATTGAACCGCCTCATTCCGCTAAATCAAATATGACTAAAAATCAGAATTTTTAATTGGTAGAGATCACTGTAATTTAACGTACTTTACGTCATATAGATGGCGATTGTATATTCTTATAGAAACATATCATGCGTTCGGGTATAGGAATGGAGCTCGTTGAAAGCTACTGGCAGTTTAGATAACCAACAACAACAATCCGAAAAAGAAAGACAGCATCAAAGTACATGGAAGGATATATATAGTTTCTGTCGAAACTCAATTGCGCCCTTTTTAGGGTTTGGTCTCGCAATAGAGACAATAATTCAATCGGCGGAAATGCCGATTTAAGAAAGGAACGTTCGCATCGTGTGGTGTCCCTAGCAGGGATGGCCGCACACTACCGGTAAGTATCGCCCCCGACGTATCCTGGAACCCCCAAATCCTATAAATCCCGACAACTCCGGGGCCAGTAATTCGGCACCCCCGTTGGAAACGTCAAGTTTGTTGCTCACACGACCCCACCGTAGGGGTGTTGTTCAACCCATGCCAATAGTCAGACAGGTCCGACGGCGATGCCGTTCCGGGATTGGTCACCTTTAATATAAAAGCACAGAGTTCAACAGTACTGTCACCATACCAACTTTGGATTCCGATCGGCCGGCCACGCTTACTGTTGAACTGAGGATCACGATTGGTCAGTACTCGATGGGGACCAGGACTATACCGGTATCCGGAAATGACGTATTACTGATTTAATATTTTCAGAAAACGCATTTTTTCTCGATTTAGAGGGATTAATCTTGTATTAAAATATGCAAAAAAAACATATGCATTCCATTTAAAATGACAATGTTGGTTGCCATAGCAACGAAACAAAAAACAATGTAAACAAGCAATATCGCTAAAAAATGCGCCACAATTGAATGCCTCGCATGCTTCGCCTATTAATAATTGAAAAAATCAAATTTTTGTTTTTAAAAATGCTTATTTATATAAAAAGTAATACGAAAGTCGGTTAGTAAAGTATCCTTACTGAAATAGAACACTTCGCTATGAAAAAAGTTATGAAATTACCTATATTAATGAAAATATTGAGCAATCAAATCAAAAAATAAAGGAACAACGTTGCTTATTCTGGCACTTGAAACGTTTTTCCCTACTGTTTTATATATTCGCTGCAACAATCAGTTCTTGATAAAAACCTTTTTTTGTTGTCGGGTAAATATTCTGACATTGACATAAGATCTGCTTTTTTTGATGCGGTTATACTTAGTGGAGCATCATATAATTTTGGTAGTGTAGTAATAGACGGCGCTACAATATTTGGTCTACGACAGCCTCGACGTTTTTTCAAAAGATCATAGTGCTTCCATTCTTCTAAAACACTATGACTCGTTCTTAATCGTAGAACTCCAGGTTCTTCTGCAGTAACTTGTAGCCATCGTGCCTGGGTTATTTTAAGGCTAGGATCTCTTTTAAAAAGTTTTTCAACAGAATCAAGATTTAAAAAATTAAGTTGGGTCATTTTAAAAACTTCAAAGGGATTTATCCGGCGTACATTGGCCAGGAACTCCACCAGATCATCAGGCTCATACAGTTTACACAGTTTTTTATTCTTCTCAATCAGAGCAAAATCCCTATCACAGGGTAAAAAACTATGCCCACTCACCAAAAACTTTTGATTAACTTCAGAGAAATATCCCAAATAAGTTAAATAGGTAAACAATATTACCATTTTAAAGTTATTATTCTGGCCAATGCAACGGTGTGACCAGATTGTTAACTTCCGCTCTTGCCCTGCTTGAAGTACACTGAAATAATGCACAACATGCTGAATAAGGCACGACGTAATTTCAGCGGAACCGCATTTAGCTACAGATTCATGCCATAAATACTTAGTTACTTGTGAATTACCCATGTTATGCACAGCATAATTATAATTTGAATATTGTCTTTGGTAGAAAACATCCAAGTGTGTTAAATTAGGTGTGAACAACACCTGCTGTAAATCAACACACAAAACTACAAAATCTTGATTTTGTTTTGCAGTCTCTGCATCCCTATGCAAGGTTTCATAAGCTTTTTCGGCCTTTCTGTGATGAAGTTCAGCTTCTGCAGCAATTTTATTTCGAGTTTCATCATCTTCGGTAGCAATAAGTTTAATGTAATATTTGTCACACAACTTACAGGTGTCTGATCTTGGGTACCGAATCTTAAGTCAAAGTCTGACTTAAATATGTTTCTGTATGTATCATACTTAATAGGTGAGTCTGGGTATTTCTCTATGTATAGTTGAAACATTATTTGTATAGATAGAGATGGATCAAGACATTTTTTCTTTTTAGAAGACCTCAAATAATGACTCTATTGAGCAGGAAAGCTGGCAATGTGAGACTTAATGGTATCAATATGAAAATCAGGTATTTTATGAGGACGGTTTAGATGAAGGCCCCTTTGATGGTAAATCATTTTATGGAATGTTATTTTATTTACTAATAGCTGTAACCGCCGACGTGTGACACTTAACACGTTACATAAAGATTTCTGACATACATTGAGCCGTCCATTTTTAGTTATTAGTGAATATTTTACTGTACAATGTCTGGTAGAAACTTCTTCAGCAACACGTCTTCTTTTAGGCTCCATCACATCCATACAGCCTTGCAAAAATAAATTTTGTTCATTGTAAGTTTTCTTATAAAAGTCCGTGTATAAATCTAGTTTTTCTTCCTCAGTAATATTTTTACAACCTATATATTTACATTTACACTGGAAATCCTGTAACAGAATGGTAAAACGAAAATGATATTATGTAGGTATGTACATATTAAAATCACGCAACTTTAATCAAACAAATGTTTAGAAAAGTAACATGAATAACATTAAACGCACAAAGCACGTTGTTCCAACCAACATGACTTGGTCCCGGTTTACCGCTCACTGGTTTTCCCCTTCGACTTATGTAGGGTTTTCCTGCATCATTTAACATCTTCCTTTTGAAATCCTTCCTGTTTGTAATGTCTATTTTTCTTCTTTTACCTTTATTAATATCATTTAACTCACTTGAACTTACGCGAATTGTTGACTGAAACGACGCCATGTCGGTATTAGCAACGTTGTTCCGCTGTTTACGTTCAGCGCTCTAGGTTACTAACATAAGTTTGGCAAAGACAAAAACATTATTTCTGCTTGAACCCTAAGATATTGGTAAGTATTAGTATAATCAAAGATGTTCCATAAGAAAATCATATTTCACATTTTTGTCGTTTGCAACGTTGTTCGCGCGAGGCATTCAATTAATAAAGAAACTTTTATTTGAAACGTTTTTCTTTAAAACCACAAATGGCGAAGTTATTGGCTATATTGCAGACATTTGACACACCCTGTATTTTCCATAATTATCTTTAATTTTATATCTAATTTCCAATTTACAATGTAATTCTACACGATTTTGATAAAACACCCCTCTAGGATGTTTTACTGCTGGTACCTCTTCCAAGTGGTGCCAAGAAAGCAAAGAAACATATTGGTGTGTGTCAAAATGACACACACCAATATGATTCATAAAGATTATTTGATTCACCAATCAGTTTTTTCGATTTAAAACCAGCTCAATCCAAAAATGATTGCGCCACTGTAATGCTATAGATCGACTTTTACTTTCGAAGTAATTTTCGAGCGATTTTATTTTTATTTATTAACAAAAACGATTTTAATTGACTTAATTAAGTGTAAATTAAGTAAGTATTAAGAAATTTTATAAATTTAAAAACGAATCAATGAATTAAATATTTAGTAATCCATAAAATTTTATATCTATGTTCTTGGGATCTACTTAAATTGAGTTTTTGAATTATTTTCTTAATATTATTTAATAAAATGTATTAAAACACTTACTTTGTTATCCCGAGAACCGATTTTGATAAAATTTTGAATTCACCACGTTGATTTAAACCGATTTTTTTTCGAATTTCGTTTTACCAAAAAGTGTCAATTAATGACGCAATACAAACGAACCGTTGTTATCTAACTTACCGACGCGACTAGTCATTTGTTTTTTAAAAAATTTTTTAAATTAAATATTATAAACAATTAATTGAAATACTTAATTGAATACCCCCGGAATCGATTCATAAAGATTATTTGATTCACCGATGAGTTTTTTCGATTTAAAACCAGCTCAACCTAAAAATCATTGCGCCACTAACATAAAACTATAGATCGACTTTTACTTTCGAAGTAATTTTCGAGCGATTTTATCTTTATTTATTAACAAAAACGATTTTAATTGACTTAATTAAGTGTAAATTAAGTAAGTATTAAGAAATTTTATAAATTTAAAAACGAATCAATGAATTAAATATTTAGTAATCCATAAAATTTTATATCTATGTTCTTGGGACCTACTTAAATTAAGTTTTTGAATTATTTTCTTAATATTATTTAATAAAATGTATTAAAACACTTACTTTGTTATCCCGAGAATCGATTTCGATAAAATTTTGAATTCACCACGTTGATTTAAACCGATTTTTCTTCGAATTTAAACCGCGTTTCACCAAACAGTGTCAATTAATGATGCAATACAAACAAACCGTTGTTATCTAACTTACCGACGCGACTTGTCTTTTGTTTATTAACAAAGAGGGATGTTTAATTTAGATTTTTATAAATTACATTTTTTAAATTAAATATTGTTATAAACAATTAATTGAAACACTTAATTTAATACCCCCAGAATCGTTTCATAAAGATTATTTGATTCACCAATGCAGTTTTTCGATTTAAAACCGGTTTCAACCCAAGAATGATTGAGCCACTAACATAACACTATAGATCGACTTTTTCGTTCGAAGTAATTTTCGAGCTATTTTATTTTTATTTATTAACAAAAACGACTTTAATTGACTTAATTAAGTGTAAATTAAGTAAGTATTAAGTAATTTTATAAATTTAAAAACGAATTAATGAGTTAATTTTTTAGTAATCCATAAAATTTTATATCTATGTTCTTGGGATCTACTTAAATTGAGTTTTTGAATTATTTTCTCAATATTATTTAATAAAATGTATTAAAACACTTACTTTGTTATCCCGAGAACCGATTTTGATAAAATTTTGAATTCACCACGTTGATTTAAACCGATTTTTTTTCGAATTTCGTTTCACCAAAAAGTGTCAATTAATGACGCAATACAAACGAACCGTTGTTATCTAACTTACCGACGCGACTTGTCGTTTGTTTATTAACAAAGAGGGATGTTTTGATCAAAGTCGCTAGATCCGTATGAGCATTGTAAATTGGAAATTAGATATAAAATTAAAGAAATATAATGTTGAGCGATGAAATTGACAAATTAATTAATAAGGATACTCGATAAAGAGCGGTTTCTGATGATGAACTATTTAAAATAGTTCGAAACGATAAAAATTAAGAATATGTCAAAATGGCATTGACATTTCAAACCGGAAGTTGCTTATATCTTGTGTAATATTGGAATTAAACGTATGTTTGGGCTCATTTTAAAGGATTTTTAATGAAGATTATAAATATGTCAAAATTGAGGTTGACATTTTTGTCGGTTTATTATCCACGAAATAAAAATAAAGCCGGTTGGTAGCACTTTTAGTGATTTAGGTTGGTAACGCTAATGTCATTCTTTGACATTTAAATTATGACACAATAATAATTGTTTAAAAATTAATTATAACGCAAAATATATCGATATATTGTACAACCGGCATTAAAACATATTAAATTAAACCAAACTTACCTTCCTTGATTTTCCAACATCGGACTTGGTACAATAAAACTCCTAGAACGATAAGTACTCGGTTTTGATCCTAAAATTTTCCCTTTAATCGACGAGGAACCTCCGCGCATACTTTGCCTCCGCAACTTTTGAATCATATCGCGTCGAAAATCCTTAAAAACCATCGCTTCCAATTCATGCAATTTCTTCAATTCCAACTCGATCGTTCCATGCGAAGCCCCCAACGATCGCAAATCGTTAATTATTTTCGCCTGTTCGTTCATTTCGCGTTCGATTAATTTCGATCGCTTGCGATAATCCAAATTCGGATCGAAAACGAACGCGGGAAGTATCGATTCTTGACTAGCCTTAGTATCGGTTTGATCGTTTTCGTCACTGTCGTAATCGACATTTACAGGGGAATCTTCCGCTCCGGTTAATTGCGTTAAAGTGTGACCTAACGCGGAGAGTTGTTTTCCGATATTCGTGTCTAAATGGATATCGACACCTTCCATTTGCCATTGGACGTTTAAGAACCATTTGGCGTTCTCTAAAATGTTAATTAGAATAAAAATAGAATAAAAATGCAGATTTGGGGTGTTTAAAAATGTACCGTTTTGTTTCCCGGCGATCGTTCGGCTACAAACTTCGTAAGTTCCATCGCTTACGACGCATAAATTGGACGAATTGTTCATATCCGGTTTCCAATCGTCTAAAGATGTTTCGAAATCGTCTTCGAAACGTAAACACAAGCTCGAAAATTTTCCTTTGCTAACTAATGACCCAGAATTACACGCTAAAATTGATTTAAACGTCATTTTAAACGTCAAAATTTGACAGGTGTCATTTTACCTGAAATGCTTGTATCTAAAGTAATAACAACGGCCCCTCTCGTTTCTTCGTAAGTATTTCGCCCCCAAGTTTTTAACGGAAGGGGGTTCAAAGGTAAACAAATCCCCATGTCCTCAACAGTGAGTTGCAAAAACAACATCCCAACGTGGGGTGCTCCTAATTGACTTGTAATTTGTCCTAATTGAAATTTTTCGTAAACCTGTTGCGTGGCGGTTAGCACCTCTTTGTTTAAATTCGCCCTCTTTTCGTTCCAATAATCGTAAGCGTTCTTATAATTTAACCAAACCAAGATTGCTTTATCCACAGCGACCGGTTGAATATAAATCAGCGGGCGTTTTAAAGTAATCAAAACAACCTCTTTTTCTTCCCCCTCAGTTATTTCATCTTGAAACATGTTTCGTAAACCGACTCGCGTTTTAAAATACGCGAATTGTTGGAATTCGGTGTCGGCCTCTTCGAAAAGAACGTTCCTTATGAGTTGGCCCAACGATAAATTAAAATCGACTTGTGCTCGGCCGAATAAACGCGATGAGGAGGCGTTTTTGTTGCTGGAACCGGATACGTTTTGAACGCGGTTTGACAGTTCTAAAACGACTGCGCCCGTTTCTAATCGAACGGCGGAACTTCCGGCCGTTGTTGCGGTTAATTGGATGCGTTGGATTTTTATTATTAATGAGAATAAGATGCGGTTTAACGTGGATGGTTCTTCGCTATCTTCTAACCAAATCGGAACGGGTCTTTCACCTCCATAAACTTTTTGTACCACTTCATTAACTTCCTACAACAAAAAAATAATAATTATAATAAAACAATCGCATACAACATTCGAATTTTAATAAAAAAATTTTAAAATAAACTTTTTACTTTGACATTTCTGGCTGTCATTAAATTACTTTTGTCCTAATTTACAAAATCACTAAAATCCTCAAACGTCAAAGTGACGTTTCTGAATGTTTATGTGTATTGAGAATAAAGGTGATCACAAAATAACGTCACTTATTTTTAAAAGTATTAAAACATTTTAATATTAATAATAATTGATTTTTTAAACTTTTCCTCAATATTTTTAATAAAGTTTTCGAAACATTTCTAACTTGTCAAATTTCAAACACACTAAATTTGAAATTCCCCACATTGCCAACTTAAACTTTGACAACTCATTTACACAGAATAAACATTTCTCTTATTTTAACAACATTTAAAATTAAATTAAAAGTTAATAACTTAGGTTCGGTTTACTTTAAATAAGTAATTTTAAGAAATAATACATTTTTTTTTAGGTATCTAAAATAAGTGAGGTTATATACTTTAATTACCACTTAATAACCATCTTTAATTAAAAATACAAAAATCCAAACTTATTAAAATCGTAATAAGCGTGAAAAATCCTTTAATTTGATACCCAACAACCTATATTATAGCTTAATTAACATAACCTTAAAAATGACATTGACAGCCGCCATTTTTACTTTTATTTATCTTTAATTTTTTTATTCTAAACCTAACAATTCGTTAAAAATCCTAAAAATAATTCAACATTTTTTAATTTGTTACCAATCAAACCCATAAAAATCGCCATTTTGTCTTTGAATTATTTTTTTAACTTAAATATTTCAAAATCGTAATAAGCATGAAAAATGCTTCAATTTGATACCCAACAACCTATACTACATTAAATAACGTAGCCTTAAAGATGACATTGACAGCCGCCATCTTGGATTTTCTAATTTTTTAAATTTTGCATATCTTTGGTACTATTGAAGATAACCCCATCGAGTTTGGACTCATTTTAAAGGATTTTTTATGAATATTACGAATATATAAAGATGGCGTTATAAACCGGAAGTTAATGTTGCGCATGTCGTTTATTTGTAACGATTTTATGTTGATATAAAAATTAATCAATTTTCAGACAAATCAGACAATTTCATCTTGATTTGATGCATCACAACCCATATTTACTATCAAATCCATTTTTAGTAGTAGCCATTTTGTGTTTCGGCCATCTTTAATTAAAAATATAAAAATCCAAACTTATTAAAATCGTAATAAGCGTCAAAAATCCTTTAATTTGATACCCAACAACCTATACTGCATTAAATACCGTAGTCATAAAGATGACATTGACAGCCGCCATCTTGGATTTTCTTATTTTTTTTTTTAATTTTGCATATCTTTGGTACTATTTAAGATAACCCCATCGACTTTGGACTCATTTTAAAGGATTTTTTATGAATATTACGAATATATAAAGGTGGCGTCATAAACCAGAAGTTAATTTTTTCGCATGTCGCTTATTTGTAACGATTTTGTGTTGATATAAAAATTAATCAATTTTCAGACAAATCAGACAATTTCATCTTGATTTGATGCATCGCAACCCATATTTATCATCAAGTCCATTTTAAGTTGTAGCCATTTTGTATTCGGCCATCTTTAATTAAAAATATAAAAATCGAAACTTATTAAAATCGTAATAAGCGTGAAAAATCCTTTAATTTGATACCCAACAACCTATGCTGCATTAAATAACATAGCCTTAAGGATGACATTGACAGCCGCCATCTTGGATTTTCTTATTTTTTTTTTAAATTTTGCATATCTTTGGTACTATTTAAGATAACCCCATCGAGTTTGGACTCATTTTAAAGGATTTTTTATGAATATTACGAATATATAAAGATAGCGTCATACCTTTAATTAAAAATATAAAAATCCAAACTTATTAAAATCGTAATAAGAATGAAAAATCATTTAATTTGATACCCAACAACTTTTTACTTTCACGTTTTTGGCTGTCATTAAATTACTTTTGTCCTAATTTACAAAATCACTAGAATTAAACGTCAAAGTGACGTTTCTGAATGTTTCCAATTTTGTTTTAAATTATTAAATAATTACNCAAACCCATAAAAAAATCGCCATTTTGTATTTGAATTATTTTTTTAACCTAAATATATCAAAATCGTAATAAGCATGAAAAATGCTTCAATTTGATACCCAACAACCTATACTGCATTAAATAACGTAGCCTTAAAGATGACATTGACAGCCGCCATCTTGGATTTTCTTATTTTTTTAAAATTTTGCGTATCTTTGGTACTATTTACGATAACCCCATCGAGTTTGGACTCATTTTAAAGGATTTTTTATGAATATTACGAATATATAAAGATGGCGTCATAAACCGGAAGTTAATGTTGCGCATGTCGCTTATTTGTAACGATTTTGTGTTGATATAAAAATTAATCAATTTTCACACAAATCAGACAATTTTATATTGATTTGAATGCATCGCAACCCATATTTATCATCAAATCCATTTTTAGTAGTAGCCATCTTGTGTTTGGCCATCTTTAATTAAAAATACAAAAATCCAAACTTATTAAAATCGTAATAAGCGTGAAAAATCCTTTAATTTGATACCCAACAACCTATATTTTTATAGGTTAATTAACATAACCTTAAAAATGACATTGACAGCCGCCATTTTTATTTTTATTTATCTTTAATTTTTTTATTCTAAACCTAACAATTCGTTAAAAATCCTAAAAATAATTCAATATTTTTTAATTTGTTACCAATCAAACCTATAAAAAATCGCCATTTTGTTTTTGAATTATTTTTTTAACCTAAATATTTCAAAATCGTAATAAGCATGAAAAATGCTTCAATTTGATACCCAACAACCTATACTGCATTAAATAACGTAGCCTGAAAGATGACATTGACAGCCGCCATCTTGTATTTTCTTATTTTTTAAATTTTGCATATCTTTGGTACTATTTAAGATAACCCCATCGACTTTGGACTCATTTTAAAGGATTTTTTATGAATATTACCAATATATAAAGATGGCGTGATAAACCGGAAGTTAATGTTGCGCATGTCGCTTATTTGCAACGATTTTGTGTTGATATAAAAATTAATCAATTTTCACACAAATCAGACAATTTCATCTTGATTTGATGCATCACAACCCATATTTACCATCAAATCCATTTTTAGTAGTAANTATCATTTTGAAGTTTAAGATGACAACTTCATAATAGGAAATGTCATTTTGGAGTTGAAAATGTCAACTTGATTAGAAAAAATGTCATTTTGAGGTTCATGAAATCACCTTGAGAATAAGAAATGTTATTTTGATGTTTAAAATGTTAATGTCAAATATGACAATGTCATTTTAAAGTTTAAGATGTCAACTTCATAATAAAAAATGTCGTTTTAAAGTTCATAATGATGTTTTAAAAGTAGAAAGTATCATTTTAAAGTTTAAAACAACGATTTCATATCATTTTGAAGTTTAAGATGACAACTTCATAATAGGAAATGTCATTTTGGAGTTGAAAATGTCAACTTGATTAGAAAAAATGTCATTTTGAGGTTTATGAAGTCACATTGAGAATAAGAAATGTTTAAAATGTACAACTTCATAATAGGAAATGTCATTTTGGAGTTGAAAATGTCAACTTGATTAGAAAAAATGTCATTTTGAGGTTTATGAAGTCACATTGAGAATAAGAAATGTTTAAAATGTTAATTTCAAATATGACAATGTCATTTTAAAGTTTAAGGTGTCAACTTCACAATAAAAAATTTCATTTTAAAGTTCATAATGATGTTTTAAAAGTAGAAAGTATCATTTTAAAGTTTAAAACAACAATTTCGTATCGTTTTGAAGTTTAAGATGACAACTTCATAATAGGAAATGTCATTTTGGAGTTGAAAATGTCAATTTGATTAGAAAAAATGTCATTTTGAGGTTCATGAAGTCACCTTGAGAATAACAAATGTCATTTTGATGTTTAAAATGTCACTGTCAAATATGACAACGTCATTTTAAAGTTTAAAATGTCAACTTCATAATAAAAAATGTCGTTTTAAAGTTCATAATGATGTTTTAAAAGTAAGAAATATCATTTTAAAGTTTAAAACAAAAATTTCGTATCATTTTGAAGTTTAAGATGACAACTTCATAATAGGAAATGTCATTTTGGAGTTGAAAATGTCACTTGATTAGAAAAAATGTTATTTTGAGGTACATGAAGTCAACTTGAGAATAAGAAATGTTATTTTGATGTTTAAAATGTCAATGTCAAATATGACAATGTCATTTTAAAGTTTAAGATGTCAACTTCATNTCGTAATAAGAATGAAAAATCATTTAATTTGATACCCAACAACTTTTTACTTTCACGTTTTTGGCTGTCATTAAATTACTTTTGTCCTAATTTACAAAATCACTAGAATTAAACGTCAAAGTGACGTTTCTGAATGTTTCCAATTTTGTTTTAAATTATTAAATAATTACCTTCATGAAAACTTTTTGTACAAAAACCAAATGATTTAATAAATCGGTGGTTAAACTATGTTCAAAAACTCCAATTTCAGCGTTTGCACTCAAATAACCTCCTTGCATAAAAACGACTCCTTCTGGACCTCGATGGACATCCCTCAAAGTAGCTGTTGCACTCTCTGGGATGTATTCAGCGGAAACATGAACTGCAGGAAGTGCTATACTCGCTTCTGATGGTAAATTTGCTTCAGATACCTAAAAAAAATCATTTTTATTCATTAACATAAATTCTTTAAAGAACTATTTACTTGTAACTTTGTGGTGAAACTAAGAGAATGATGTGGTAAATCGATCGTGAATTTTGCTTTACTTCCGGTTGTTCCTGTACTATTAACTTGATCCATTTTGTATTGAGCTTGTAACGACGGCAACAAAGCCGCTGTAATACTCAAACTTTGCAAAATAACCGAAAATTGCATAACTAAAGGTTGCAACAACCCCTTCTCCAATTCTTCTCTCCCCAAACTTTCCTGCACCTTACTAGCAATATTTTTCTTATCAACATAATTCGGGGAATAATTCACCCCTCCACCACCACCCCCAACTTCCTCCTCCGTTTGTAATCTCGATAACCGACTCGAAGTGCGCGTTACCCTTAATTCTTGCAAAGTCGAACTTAATTGTTTACTCCCTCTAGTAACCATTCCGTGTAACGCAACCGGATGTTGGGGAATATCTATGTTAACAGCCCCCACTGTTAATAAACCCGAATTTTTATCTTTCGAACGTTTACTAACGCTCGAATATAAAGCTTGTGATTTTCCAACTGTTACTTTAACGACTGTTTGTAAATTCGGGGCAACCCCCTCTAAAAGTACAATCATCGTACGTCCAATTTGCCCCGTTAACGAACACTCTAAACTAGATGGGGTCGATTTTTTTCGACACGTCAAACTTGAATGTAAAGAAGTTATTTCCGCTTCGAGTTTTAACCCGGAAAGAGTTGCTAAAAGACGTGTTTTGTGGATTCTTGCAACACCGAAAACGATTAATTTGGTATGTTCTTTTGAAGAGGTGGGTTGGTGGACGAGATTTTTTTGATTTTTATCGATTTTTGGAGTTCTAATTGGTGTGCTTGTTAGGTTATGACCACTTCCAACGTTTCCGGTTGGTCCATTTCCTGGTGGATTTCCAATTATATCATTTTCTTTTTCTACACTTTCTTTATCGACGTTTTCATTCGATTTTACCTCGGTTAAAACATCGTATTTCCGGTTACCTTTGTAATGTTCTGAAACGTCGCTGTTAATGTTTGTTGTTCCGGAAACGGAAAATCGATGCTTTATTGTTTTTGTATCCGGCATATTCGCGTATAAATCTAATAAATGATTTATAGTCCTCCAACATCTCCCCACGTTCTTTTCGTTTATCACAACACGCTCAAAACCGGAAATTGAAGGCGATGAAACCGTAACGGGGGTTCCACCTTCGTTTAAATTGACGTAACCTTTAACGCTTTTTCCGGTTGAGATTAATTTTTGTGCTAAACTTTGCGGGCGTGATCTTATACTAGGTGATGGTGAAATGACGGGTTTTTGAGAGATAATCGATGATTTATCCGATAAAATGCTGCGTAATTTTCGGTCATCATCGGAACTTCTTCCCTCGTTAATCAAATCTGATGTTGAAGTTGAGTTGTGTTTAACATCGACGTGATCGCTCGCGCTTGTTTTAGGTCTTCGGATATCAACGACGGTCGGTTGTTGTTCTCTTAATTCGTTTTGGGTGTCTTTAACGTTTTGATACATGTTACTTATTTGATGTAACAATCTTAAAAGGGGCATATTAACACGTTGCGAGATGTAACGGACCCCTACGTTAAAATGGAGCACGGTGCTTGTGTGATTTTTTAATTGCCCCCGGCTGATATACAAAACATTCTTCGTTTTAATCATTTCGGAAACTGCCATATCGGTCATTCGATCAAGTTCTAATTCGATTGAGACTTTTTCGCAAACAAACGCGGGACACTCATCGGTGTTAATCTCTAAGAAAGTTCGACCTTGCTTGGTTTTTCCACCTTTTCGTTTTTTCTCCATTTTGCCATGTTCCGAAACGACAATATCAATCCGCATCGTTTCCATATTTCCAACTAACGATAAATTCGAACCGAGCGCGTCTAACGAAGTGACATCATTCCCGGTTGGGTTTTCACTCATATTGGTTACTTTTAATTGTTGCGGCATCACCCCCAAGCTGGATAATAACGGTTGGAAAATTAAATTTGCGTCTAACAATTTCCAAGAGTCGTGTAATTGATGTAAAGGCACCAAAAAAGCTTGATTTTCCTTCGCGAGCGTTGTTTCTTCGCCGGATGATTGAGTTTGTAAGGTGTCGATTTTTGATTCAACGCCGGATTCGAAATTTTCGACGTCTTGTTTCGCCATCCAACTGTATAAGTCTTCGGAGCTTTGGTTCCGGGTTGGGATGCGGTGGAGGGGGCTTAATGGGGCTTCGGGGGACGAATTCGTGCAAACGCTTGGGTCTGAACCTAAGTTCACGGCGGTGTGATCTTCCCGAAGAGCTCCATAACCTTAAAAATATTAAGATTTTTTAGTTACCTTTATTTCAAAACAATTAAAATTAAGTGCATCCAGATTAAATCAATGATTTTAAATTAAATCAGTTTTCAAATCGAATACAAAATAACCTCACTTATTTTTTATGAAACGTCACTTTAAAAGCGGGCGTCTATAACCTCTCTTTTTAGATATTTATGTCCTAAAACCATTAAAACACTTTAATATTAATAATAATTGATTATTTTTTAACTTTTCCTCAATATTTTTAATAAAAATTTCGTGACATTTCTAACTTGTCAAATTTCAAAAGCAGTGTCACCACGCACTAAATTTGAAATTCCCTACATTACCAACCTAAATTTTAACAACAGCTTAAGATGACAACTCATAATAAAAAATGTTGTTTTAAAGTTCATAATAATGTTTTAAAAGTAAGAAATATCATTTTAAAGTTTAACATGACAACTTCATAATAGGAAATGTCATTTTAGAGTTGAAAATGTCAACTTGATTAGAAAAAATGTCATATTGAGGTTCATGAAGTCACCTAGAGAATAAGAAATGTTATTTTGATGTTTAAAATGTCAATGTCAAATATGACAATGTCATTTTAAAGTTTAATATGTCAACTTCATAATAAAAAATGTCGTTTTAAAGTTGATAATGACGTTTTAAAAGTAAGAAATATCATTTTAAAGGTTAAAACAACAATTTCGTATCATTTTGAAGTTTAAGATGACAACTTCATAATAGGAAATGTCATTTTGGAGTTGAAAATGTCAACTTGATTAGAAAAAATGTTATTTTGAGGTTCATGAAGTCACCTTGAGAATAAAAAATGTTATCTTAATGTTTAAAACGTCAATGTCAAATATGACAATGTCATTTTAAAGTTTAATATGTCAACTTCATAACAAAAAATGTCGCTTTAAAGTTGATAATGACGTTTTAAAAGTAAGAAATATGATTTTAAAGTTTAAAACAACAATTTCGTATCATTTTGAAGTTTAAGATAACAACTTCATAATAGAAAATGTCGTTTTGGAGTTGAAAATGTCAACTTGATTAGAAAAAATGTCATTTTGAGGTTCATGAAGTCACCTTGAGAATAAGAAATGTTATTTTGATGTTTAAAATGTCAATGTCAAATATGACAATGTCATTTTAAAGTTTAAGATGTCAACTTCATAATAAAAAATGTCGTTTTAAAGTTCATAATGATGTTTTAAAAGTAAGAAATATCATTTTAAAGTTTAAAACAACAATTTCGTATCATTTTGAAGTTTAAGATGACAACTTCATAATAGGAAATGTCATTTTGGAGTTGAAAATGTCAACTTGATTAGAAAAAATGTCATTTTGAGGTTCATGAAGTCACCTTGAGAATAAGAAATGTTATTTTGATGTTTAAAATGTCAATGTCAAATATGACAATGTCATTTTAAAGTTTAAGATGTCAACTTCATAATAAAAAATGTCGTTTTAAAGTTCATAATGACGTTTTAAAAGTAAGAAATATCATTTTAAAGTTTAAAACAACAATTTCGTATCATTTTGAAGTTTAAGATGGCAACTTCATAATAGGAAATGTCATTTTGGAGTTGAAAATGTCAACTTGATTAGAAAAAATGTCATTTTGAGGTTCATGAAGTCACCTTGAGAATAAGAAATGTTATTTTGATGTTTAAAATGTCAATGTCAAATATGACAATGTCATTTTAAAGTTTAAGATGTCAACTTCATAATAAAAAATGTCGTTTTAAAGTTCATAATGACGTTTTAAAAGTAAGAAATATCATTTTAAAGTTTAAAACAACAATTTCGTATCATTTTGAAGTTTAAGAAGACAACTTCATAATAGGAAATGTCATTTTGGAGTTGAAAATGTCAACTTGATTAGAAAAAATGTCATTTTGAGGTTCATGAAGTCAACTTGTGAATAAGAAATGTTATTTTGATGTTTAAAATGTCAATGTCAAATATGACAATGTCATTTTGAAGTTTAAGATGTCAACTTCATAATAAAAAATATCGTTTTAAAGTTAATAATGACGTTTTAAAAGTAGGAAATATCATTTTGAAGTTTAAAACAACAATTTCGAATCATTTTGAAGTTTAAGATGACAACTTCATAATAGGAAATGTCATTTTGGAGTTGAAAATGTCAATTTGATTAGAAAAAAATGTCATTTTGAGGTTCATAAAGTCGCCTTGAGAATAAGAAATGTTATTTTGATGTTTAAAATGTCAATGTCAAATATGACAATGTCATTTTAAAGTTTAAGATGTCAACTTCATAATAAAAAATGTCGTTTTAAAGTTCATAATGACGTTTTAAAAGTAATAAATATCATTTTAAAGTTTAAAACAACAATTTCGTATCATTTTAAAGTTTAACATGACAACTTCATAATAGGAAATGTCAATTTGGAGTTGAAAATGTCAACTTGATTAGAAAAAATGTTATTTTGATGTTTAAAACGTCAATGTCAAATGTGACATCATTTTAAAGTTTAAGATGTCAACTTCTTCATAAAAAATGTCGTTTTAAAGTTCATAATGATGTTTTAAAAGTAGGAAGTATCATTTTAAAGTTTAAAACAACAATTTCGTATCATTTTGAAGTTTAAAATGACAACTTCATATTAGGAAATGTCATTTTAAAGTTTAAGATGTCAACTTTATATTAAAAAATGTCGTTTTAAAGTTCATAATGATGTTTTAAGAGAAAGAAATATCATTTTAAAGTTTAAAACAACAATTTTTAATAAAGTTTTTGAAGCATTTCTAACTTGTCAAATTTTATTTTAGTGTCACCTCGCACTAAATTTGAAATTCCCTACATTACCAACTTAAACTTTGACAACTGATTTATAAAGAATAAACATTTTTCTTATTTTAATAACATTTAAAGTTAAATTAAAAGTTAATGAACGATAAAATTGGTGTTTTGCACTAAAACTTAGGTTCGGTTTGTTTTAAATAAGTAATTTTAAGAAATAATAAAAAAATTTTTAGGTATCCAAAATAAGTGAGGTTATGTACTTCTAATTAAAACGTCACTTTAAAAGCGGGCGATTATAACCTCTCTTTTTTGATATTTATGTCCTAAAAGTATTAAAACACTTTAATATTAATAATTTTTTTTTATCTTGTCAAATTTCAAAAGCAGTGTCACCACGCACTAAATTTGAAATTCCCTACATTACCAACTTAAACTTTGACAACTGATTTACAAAGAATCAACATTTTTTTTACTTCAATAACATTTAAAATTAAATTAAAAGTTAACGAACGATAAAATTGGTGTTTAGCACTAAAACTTGGGTTCGGTTTGTTTTAAATAAGTAATTTTAAGAAATAATAATGTTTTGGTTCAACACCAATTTCATTTTCTAAAACATTTTTAGCCTTTTTTCACTCACATATATTAGCGTCGTTAATTTTTTTCTGCAAAAACGGGTTAGACCCGTTGAGTAAAGGGAGCACAACGCTGGCGCGACCGCTTGAGGCCCCCGTCGGGGGTTGCGCGCTCATTTTACGCCGTTTCTGCGACACTGGGGTAAATGAAAAGCAAAAAGCGACGTGAAAACAATAAAGGATATCGTTCCGAAACGATACTTTATTAACGAAAAGGGGGTAAAATTGATAAAAATGAGTATAAACCTACCTGGAGGACTTGGTGAAGTTAGAAGGCTCTCAACGCCACCGGAAACGACTGCAACTTGGGGCGATAACATGGTGTTTTCCATGTAATTTGGAATTCTTGTGGTGTTCAATGGTAAAGTTGAGGAGTCTTTACCTGTTTTAAATTAAAGTGGTTAAATTAAACATGGTTTAAAGTTGGTGATAAAGTTCTAAGCAACTATTAGAAGCGAAACATTGATTTAAAAGAAATATTAGATGAGAAACGTGCAAAAAAAAAAACAACAATAAAGTAATGAAGCTCCATTTTTTTAATATTTGTTTCAAGTCAATATTATTAAAACGTACCGATATTTTTGTGGGGCTTTAAAATGATCCCGGTATGAAGTAGCTGGGCGTGTTCGTCGGTAATATCGGCATCTTCGTTAGCACTTTGTTCTCCGTCGGTTAAGCACACATCCTAATGGGGCAAAATTACATTGACAAGAAACATTTAAAAGAGTAAGGTTGTAGTTAGTCACAAATACATCCGTTTTTATCGACTTCTTTTGTAGGAGCTTAACACAAAAATGATTTCTAAGTATAAATAATGGAATAAGAAACAATAAAAGCGAATGGACGCATCTCTTTTTTGAGAGATTTTAATAAGAATAAGGGACGAGATAATAAATGTAGAATAAAAACAAGCTACTACAGCGTTAAATTAATCAATTTAACAATTCCCTTATCCCAATACAAATTCTTTTTAATAAATTTTCTTACTGGATAAAGAAGATCGTCGGGTCTCCTTTTTGAAAGAAAATTCCACATTTTTTTTTAATAAATCCAAAAATATATAAAAGAAAAAAAATAAAACTCATTTATGAAACGATTCCATTTAGAACCAACCTCAAAACTCACCTCTTGTTGTATTTCCGGTATCGCTATCGTCACATTTAACGGTTTTAATCGCGTCTTTACGTTTTGTTGGGGTAATAATGGAGTGTATAAGTTTGGTTTCCATTGTCTGCTCAGCACAATAACACCCTAAAAATAGAAAAAAAAATTGATTAACATTAATTTTCATCAATTAGTAACAAATTATAATTTAAAAAATAATTTGAAATATTCGAAACGTCAATTGAAACGTCATTTGACGTTTGACATAAACAGATTTTAGTGATTTTGTAAATTAGGTTAATTGACCTAAAAATAATTTAATAACAGGTGAATATTTTAAATATATAACTAAACTTAACACTAGCTCTAGAACTAATACTAAACGTAGAAATAAGCTTTTCTTAAGGCGATTAAACCCGTATGTTTTTAGTTGTTGGTTTAAAATGCATCAAAAATACACCTATCGCTACATTTAATGGTTATAATCACGTTTTCACGTTCTATTGGAGGTAATAGTGACGTATATAAGTTTGATTTTTATTGTCTACTCACCAATAACACTCCACAAATAGAAATAACCTCAAAAACCAATTTAAAATGAACAAATTTTTGACAGTTCAACTAAAATTATTTAAAACGATTATGGCGCCATCTATTGGTATCACCTATATATACTTCGTTGACAATTCAATTAATTCGTACATAACCTCACTTATTATTTTATGGAAAATTATAAATATATCAATAAAATAACTTATTAATCTTAACATTAGCTCTAGAATTAACACTAAACGTAGAAATAGAAAAAACATTCGTGATTAGCCGTGCGGTTCTCAAGGCGATTAAACCCGTTTTTAGTTTTAAGTTTAAAATGTATCAAAAATACACCTATCGTTACATTTAATGGTTATAATCGCGTTTTTACGTTATATTGGAGGTAATAGTAACGTATATAAGTTTGATTTTTATTGTCTACTCACCAATAACACCCTAAAAATAGAAAACACCTCAAAAACCAATTTAAAATAAAAAAAATTTTGACAGTTCAACTAGAATTATTTAAAACGATTATGGCGCCATCTATTGGTATCACCTACACTTCGTTGACAATTCAATTAAATCGTATATAAGTGAGGTTATATTTATTAGGTTATTATCATTATTATTTTATGAAAAATTTTAAATATATCAATAAAATAACTTATTAATCTTAACGATCTTAACAGTAAAAATTTTTTGGCAGTTCAACTATAGTCTGTTTTTAAACTAGGAGGAGTAAATCCGAAAGTCACTAGATCACTAGATATTTTAGCGGTAAATTTAAATTAATAATTATTATTTATTTTATTACTTATTAGTGTATTTATTTTCGTTTGTTATCGTCAACACTAAACATACAAATTAACATTGAAGTTATGAGTGTATTTATATTAAAATATAATTTTACAAAAGTAAATAAAATAAAATAAAATGAAACTGTCGAATGATCAATAACCTAACCGTAAAATTCAAAATTGCCTGTTTGTGAACCTTCCTCGCATTTAACCAATCACGTGCAAAGTCAATCTGGTGAGAAATTTAAAATTCTCCTCTTGGTTTAAAAACAGACTATAGTGTTAAAATAAAATAAACTAAGTGACATTTTAAATGACATTTTTATGGCGATTTATCTTAGCAACGAAATTGTTTGGAGTCGGTATAAGTTCCGCCCACCTCTGTGACGTCATACTTAGGCAGTCTATTGATGGAAATGTCAAAATTTCTATTTTATTTAAGTTGGGTTGGTACTGCTGGTCGGTGGATTAAAATAACTTATTGGATATGTTTTATGGGTTAATTCTAAACCCTTTTTGTACGAAATATTTTTTTCTATATATTATATTTATTGAGTTATACAAGAAAATTGTTGAAAACGTCAAAATTTGTATTTTTCTCAAGTTGGGTTGGTACTATTGATCGGTGGTTTAAAATAACTTATCGGACATGTTTTATGGGTTAATTCTAAACCTTTTTTGTACGAAATATATTTTTCTATCAATTACATTTATTAAGTTATACAAGAAAATTGTTGAAAACGTCAAAATTTCTATTTTTCTTTATTGGGTTAGTATTGCTAATCGGTGGATTAAAATAACTTATCGGATATGTTTTATAGGTTAATTCTAAACCTTTTTTGTATGAAATGTTTTTCTCTATCGATTATAAATATTGAGTTATATTAGAAAATTGTTGGAAATGTCAAAATTTCAGTTTTTATTGGCTTAGGTTGGTACTACTAATTGGTGGACTAAAATATCTTACTGGATATGTTTTTTGGGTTAGTTCTAAACCTTTTTTGTATAAAATGTTTTTTTCCGTCGGTTATAATTATTGAGTTACAAATAAAAATTGATGCAAATGTCAAAATTTCTATTTCTTTTAAGTTGAGTTGGTACTCCTTTTCGGTGGATTAAAATAACTTATTGGATATGTTTTATGGGTTAATTCTAAACCTTTTTTGTACGAAATATATTTTTCTATCAATTATATTTATTGAGTTATACAAGAAAATTGTTGAATACGTCAAAATTTCTATTTTTCTTAAGTTGGGTTGGTACTATTGATCGGTGGATGAAAATAACTTATCGAACATGCTTTATGGGTTAATTCTAAACCTTTTTTGTACGAAATATATTTTTCTATCAATTACATTTAGAGTTATACAACAAAATTGTTGAAATCGTCAAAATTTCTATTTTTCTTTATTGGGTTGGTAATGCTAATCGGTGGATTAAAGTAACTTATTGGATATGTTTTATAGGTTAATTCTAAACCTTTTTTGTATAAAATGTTATTTTCCATCGATTATAATTATTGAGTTATATTAGAAAATTGTTGGAAATGTCAAAATTTCAGTTTTTATTGGGTTAGGTTGGTACTACTAATTGGTGGACTAAAATATCTCACTGGATATGTTTTTTGGATTAATTCTAAACCTTTTTTGTATAAAATGTTTTTTTCCATCGGTTATAATTATTGAGTTACAAATGAAAATTGATGCAAATGTCAAAATTTCTATTTTTTTTAAGTTGAGTTGGTACTCCTTTGCGGTGGATTAAAATAACTTATTGGATATGTTTTATGGGTTAATTTTAAACTTTTTTTGTACGAAATATTTTCTTCTATCAATTATATTTATTGAGTTATACAAGATAATTCTTGAAAACGTCAAAATTTGTATTTTTCTCAAGTTGGGTTGGTACTATTGATCGGTGGATTAAAATAACTTATCGGACATGCTTTACGGGTTAATTCTAAACCTTTTTTGTACGAAATATATTTTTCTATCAATTACATTTATTAAGTTATACAAGAAAATTGTTGAAATCGTCAAAATTTCTATTTTTCTTTATTGTGTTGGTATTCCTAATCGGTGGATTAAAATAACTTATTGGATATGTTTTATGGGTTAATTCTAAACCTTTTTTGTAGTTATATTAGAAAATTGTTCTAAATGTCAAAATTTCAGTTTTTATTGGGTTGGGTTGGTACTACTAATTGGCGGACTAAAATATCTTACTGGATATGTTTTTTGGGTTAATTCTAAACCTTTTTTGTATAAAATGTTTTTTTCCATCGGTTATAATTATTGAGGTATAAATGAAAATTGATGCAAATGTCAAAATTTCTATTTTTTTTAAGTTGAGTTGGTACTCCTTTTCGGTGGATTAAAATAACTTATCGGATATGTTTTATTGGTTAATTCTAAACCTTTTTTGTACGAAATATATTTTTCTATCAATTATATTTATTGAGTTATACAAGAAAATTGTTGAAAACGTCAAAATTTGTATTTTTCTTAAGTTGGGTTGGTACTATTGATCGTTAGATTAAAATAACTTATTGGATATGTTTTATGGGTTAATTCTAAACCTTTTTTGTTCGAAATATATTTTTCTATCAATTATATTTATTGAGTTATACAAGAAAATTGTTGAAAACGTCAAAATTTGTATTTTTCTTGAGTTGGGTTGGTACTGTTGATCGGTGGATTAAAATAACTTATTGGATATGTTTTATAGGTTAATTTTAAACCTTTTTTGTATGAAATATTTTTTTCCATCGGTTATAATTATTGAGTAATAAAAGAAAATTGTTGAAAACGTCAAAATTTCCATTTTTCTTAGGTTGGGTTGGTAATGTTGATTGTTGGAATGAATATTTTTATGCAATATTATGAGTTTTTATTTTTATGAGTTAATTCTAAACGTTTTTTGTTTAAAAAGTAATCCTCCATCATTCATAACTAATAAGTTATAACCTAAAACTGTCAAAAACATTAAAATCTGGTTTATTTTTGCGTTAGGTTGGTGCTACTGTACGATGGATTAAAATAACTTACAGGATATGTTTTATGGATTAATTTTAAACTTTTTTTGTACGAAATATTTTTTTCTATCAATTATATTTATTGAGTTATACAAGATAATTCTTGAAAACGTCAAAATCTCTATTTTTCTAGGGTTAGGTTGGTACTGCTGATCGGTGGATTAAAATAACTTATTGGATATGTTTTATGGGTTAATTCTAAACCTTTTTTGTATGAAATGTTTTTTTCCAACAATTATATTTATTGAGTTATGCAAGAAAACGTCAAAATTACGTTATCTTACGATTGATAAAATGGTTAATTTAAATTAATTATTATTTGTTTAATGTCATTCGAATGATCAACTCCAAATTCAAATTCGTTGTAAACAAGTAATAAAAATCACGTGCAAGGTCAATCTGGTGAGAAATTTAAAATGCTGTTCCTAGTTTAAAGACAGACTAGAATTATTTAAAACGATTATGGCGCCATCTATTGATATCACCTACATATACTTCGTTGACAATTCAATTAAAACGTACATAACCTCACTTATTATTTTATGAAAAATTTTAAACATATCAATTAATCTAATTAAATCTTATTAAATTAAACTATTAATAATTATTAGAATTATTATTATTGCCTGTCACGATATTCATTTAAAACAGCTATTCAACAACAGATGGCGCTAGCGCGATTTCATTTTTAATTTTAATAAATTTATAATAAAAAAATAAACAACAATCTTACCTGTCTCAAAACAAACAATTGTGGTAAATCGGATTCCCTCAAATTCGCTTCGATCGTTTGCACATCTCCCTCCAAATAATATTTTTGCAAAATCGTACATAATTGACAACTGGGATCGTCTTGTAACGTCTTTGAAAGTGGTGTTAACTTCCCGTATCGGGTCTTAACGGGAAGATGACCCCCGTAAGCATCCAACGCTTCCGTCATCAAACAAGCAACAATAGCAGTCGACCTCCTATACATACTCCTCACCATATGCACAACGCGTATCGCCAAACGATTACTTGGATTCATCCAGGCGTTAATCGCGGGCGAGGCAGTACTCAAAAGATTCCAATCGAGCCGGGTATAATCGATTTTTCTCGTAATTGGGGTCCTCGGCGGTGCTGCGAAGTTAAACCAAACCGTTTTTAATTCGATTACGCACGAAATAACATTCCCGCAATCTTTTTTCGGCTCCTTCGTATTATTTTCATCGAATTTTGGAGTTTCTTTACCCAAAATGTTATTATTATCGGTTTGGGTCGGAACACTTTTAGTCGATTTATTACTCGATTTATTATCATTTTTTAATTCAACCGGATCAATTTCGGGAATTTTATTCTCATCGTTTTCTAGTTGTTCTTGTTGGAATTTTTTAACCACCTTTAAATTAACCCCTTCTAATCCGCACTCGAACATGATAAAACCGAGTTTTTCCTCGTTGAGGTCGTCTAAATTTGGGATAAAAACGTTTTCTTGGGATTCTTCACTTCTTAAGTAATAGTCTAAGAATTTGTTTTCATTTTTTAATTTAATCGCGGTGAATAAGACTTTCGAGCTGTAATTTGGGATCGCCGTGATGACGGCGTCGTCTAAAACGGAACATTCGTTTTTTAAGCGGCGTAATTGCGCGTGGACTTTTCCTACGGATAAGCTGATTACTAATTGTTTTTGTTGTTGCTCGCAGCTTTCGATGAAAACGGGTTCGCCTCGGATTATGTCGGGGTTTGTGTACGAGTGGAGGCTTAAGAAGTGTTTTTTACCTTTTTTGCTGGAAGATTGCACGACGGGGCGATAAAATTTTTGTATCACTTCTTTCGTTTGATTATCAGAGTGAAATTTCGTTGTTATGTTATCAAAGCACACCGAAAATAACGAGGCGCAAGTTAAATCTCGCATATTATCGAGCGCGCTAAACGAAATTATTTCCTCAACGATCGAGACTTGAAGCATGGTTATATTGACTTTTGGGATGATAATTGAAGCTTGAAATTGCGACTTTAAAGTCTCCTCGTAATAACCGTCCTCATTTTCGGTTAAATTAGATATATTTTTGGTTGTTTTTAGCAAATTCGTTGAAACGACTTGTTCGACGCAAGATGTGTGGAGGTGGTTAATAACCGTCATTGGGTGTAAATTAGCGACTGTTGGGATTAAAGCGTCGATGAAGCGCTGAAACGACTCCAAAAGCAAAGGGGTTATCATCACATCAAGATCGCCTTTTAATTTAATAATAACGGAAGTTCTCGTTCCGTTGAAACTACTCGTTCCAAGTAATTCTTCCTCGTTATAAATCAAATCGTTATCGTTGTTATCCTCGAAGTTATAAATAAAATTTTTTGTGGGGGTTTTACTCGAAGACACCTCACTCCTCGAAACCATCTTCATCGACGTCACCCCTTCGTTAACCACCTCGACGATCGGTACGAATCTCCCACCGATATAAACCAATTTATCGTCATCGTTTTTTTGGAAAAGTGGTACCGAAAAATGATCCCCTTGCATTAAATTGGCGTTATTCCAATTCGTCCACTTAATTTGTTTCAAATGTCCCACATAACTCGACATTAACAAAGGCGAATCGATAATTTGTCGATTAATTTGCATGTGGAGGTCGACTAAAGTGAAATCATCTTGACTCCCAATCGCTGAGACGTACGAATTACTACTGTAACTATCTGACGAATCCATCATTGATCCGACGTTTTTAACTTCCGATTTGGGTAAAACTTTGCTTCGCGTACTCGGATGTCGTTGTGGAGTCACCAAACCTTGTACTTGCGACATCTTTTGGGGGTCAAAACTGCGATGTTCGGGGGTGTGTATTTCATGGTCGCTTCGATGTGAGGATAATCTGTAATGGAAAAATATCTTTATAAATTCATACGTTAAAAAGTAATAAAAATGTCATATGGATGAAGATTATATCAGAAGAAATAGTCCAACAATTAATCGTAGTGATTTGGATAGCTACAACACTAAAGAGGAGGTTATCATTTCCCAAGCTGGAGAAACAACATTCCTCAACATTCATTGTAATCGGTAAGATACGTTGTTTTTATAACTGTTGTAAAAGATGTTTAATTAAGAAAATACGACAAGAAGTAACTAGAAGTCATGAAAATAGATTAGATCAGATAGAATCAAGTGTATAGATATGATAGGTTAAAAGGGGATTAGTGAAGTGAGGTTAAATTGTAAAAGTGAGGTTGGGACTTACATAAGAATTACCGGCTTTACTGCTGATGTTATAAAGACGTGTCAAAGACGCACGGCATAACCTCAAAATTTCTAGTTTTAGTTTCATTTCTAACATAAAATGAGTTAAGTACATTCTTTTAATGAAACGTAAAAATGTCACTTAAAAAAGACGCATATGAAGTAGCGCCATCTATCGGAAAAAGTCTAAAACTATCCTATTTATGAACGTATCCTAATTATGAACGTACCCTAATTATTTGACGTTTACAATAATATCGTAACTTCAAATGCTAAAAAATCAATTTGTCTTGATTAAAAAATAAAAACAGTTAGCAGTTAGGTTAGAAACTGTCAAATGTCAAAATTAATATGTATCACCTATATCACATTATGCAACTTTATTTCTACTAACAATCACCGTAAAACTCGTCAAAATTGCTTTTATTTGATATCAAATATGTCAAATGTCAAAATTAAATTTAACGAAAAAATTTTTTTTGGTTATAAACATGTTCTTCTTTAACATAAATGAACAGAAAATTAAAAATGTTTTAAAATGAACCCAAACTCGACTTATTTATCTCTAACCGTTATCAAGATATATTAATTTTTACCAAAAAAAAAAAAATGGTCACTTTTCCAAATGACATTTTTTGACGTTTCATTAATAAAAGATTTATTTTACTCACTCAGTGCGTCTTCGTCGATTTTGTTTCGTCTTACTGATTCAAAAGAACTGAAACGATTCAGAAAGATGGATACAATTTTTAATGAAACGTCAAAAATGTCACTTGAAAAAGTGAGGTTAGTTTTAATTGGAAAAGTGAGGTTGGGACGGATAAAAGGTCAGCACAGCTTTAAACCAACACGGCCGTTTTCGAAGACATCGGCCGCCCCCGGCCATCACGGATTCCATGACATTAATAACTTTAAGATCGATCTCAGTTCGCAACTTGAGTAAGCTGATATTTCGTGTTCTCGGGGGCTTACTTTTTGTAGCTGTTTCGATTGGTTCTTAAAAAGATCGCTAAAATGTTATAAAGGGGATTAGTGAAGTGAGGTTAAATTGTAAAAGTGAGGTTGGGACTTACATAAGAATTACCGGCTTTACTGCTGATGTTATAAGAAATAAAGTCTTATACTTATCGTCTTTGACGCACGGCATAACCTCAAAATTTCTAGTTTAGTTTTATTTCTAACATAAAATGAGTTAAAACATTTTTTTAATGAAACGTCAAAAATGTCACTTAAAAAAGACGCATATGAGGTACCGCCATCTATCGAAAAAAGTCTAAAACTCTCCTAATATGAACGTATCCTAATTATTTGACGTTTACAATAATATCGTAACTTCAAATGCTAAAAAATTAATTTATGTCTTGTTATTATCAAAAATAATTTTAAAGAAAAAGCGTGCACATTTTAAAGAATTATGCAGCATATGAATCGTCTCATTCCGCTTAAATTAAATATAACTAAAAATCAGAATTTTCAATTGGTAAAGATCACTGTAATTTAACGTACTTTACGTCATATAGATGGCGTTTGTATATTCTTATAGAAACATATTATGCATTCGGGTATAAGAATGGAGCTTGTTGTAAGCAGCTGGCAGTTTAGATTACCAACAAAAGAGAAAAAAAATCTTCAACATACATGGAAGAAGTTAGATATAGTTTCTGTCGAAACTCAATTACGCCATTTTTAGGGTATCGTCTCGCAAGAGAGAGGCAGCTAATGCCGATTTAAGAAAGGAACGTTCGCATCGTGCGGTGTCCCTAGCAAGGGCGGCCGCACACTACCGGTAAGTATCAACCCCCGACGTATCCTGCGGTGGAACACCCAAATCCTTTAGATCCCTGCATCACCGTGGCCGGCGTGCCAAAATCCACCATACCTGGTAATTCGACACCCCTGTTGGAAGCGCAAGGTTTGTTACTCCCGCGACCCCCACCATAACGGTGTTGTTTAATCTGTGCCATCCGACGGCGATGTCGTTCTGGGAGTTAGCCGATCGGAGTTTGGACTCCGATCGGCCGGCCACGCCCACTCTTGAGCTGGACTATACAGGTGTCCCGTATCTTCCGCATCAGAGCATCACACACGGTTGTAAGAAAAATTATTCTGAAGCGATCTTCTAATAAATTTTTTTCAAAATGTTTATAATAACCGCACCGGAACTGTTTTTCGACGTCCAATGGCAAATCAGATTCGAAAATAAACTTTTTGTATAAATCAAAATCATCCGCTATTGGATAATAGCGGAGAATTTTAAACAGTTCCCATGCGGTTATTACAAACATTTAGAAAAAAATTTATTAGAAAGATCGCTTCAGAATAATATATCCTACAACCGTATAATGCTCTGACGCGGAAGATACCAGACACCTGTATAATAGGGAAAAGTTTGAGCTCGAGCAAAGATTAAAAAGTAAACGAGTAAACGATTTAAAACATTCAATTTAAACAACGAGGTATTATATGTATACAGCCTGTTTCAGAGTAAGCGCCTTATTTTTTTTAGCCGCATTATGCGCACTAGTTTCAAAATATTTGGCAGTAATATGTTTTAGGACATTCTTCACACGATGGTGATACCAGATTTTCAATTGGACGAATTATTTCAAAATGGTGACTTTCAACTTTTTTTTTTAATGGAATGCCATAATTCTTTTTTAATATTGAGATCCTAAAAACATTCTTTTTAGGATAGTATTTCGTTTTTCTAAAATATTCATGTCTTTCCTCATCAAAAACCAAACTAACATTTTAATCTAGTAGAGCATGAATGTTAATAACATCGAGTAAATGTTATTTTTGTAGCCGTTGACACAAAAGAAACAAACTTTATTTTGTAATAAACATCTACTTTTTGAAACTCAAAATTAAAAATTTACATCAAATAAAAATTTGGTATTTACAAAAAATGGTAGAAATGTTCAATGGAGTCAATAGATTGATAGCATTGGTTGATATTTGACTACTAGATTAAAGTTCAATTGTTTTTTTGTGTCTACCGCTGCTTGATATTTGGACAAAAATAACATCGACTGTAAAATATTCACGAGCTACTAGATTAAAATGTTAGTTTGCTTTTTGATGAAGAAAGACATGTAATTTTTTCAGTTTTAGATTTTGAGATATGACAACTTTCGTTTTTTTAAATGGAAACAACCACTGATTATTCGCTTATTAAATTCGTAATTTTTTTCTGATTACAAAAATATAGGGTTTGACAGGTCTATTTCTTATTGTTTTAAAATAAAGCTAAAAATAAACTTTTTTTTTAGTGTCCTCAAAGAAATTAGATTCACAGTTTCCTGTAAATTATAACTAAAAATTCAAAAAAACATATTTCTGATATTTGAAACAAACACATTTGTTGAACTATTTAATTTATATTTGTTATACACAAAAGTTGGAATAGATTGCATCATTTCCCATTTTTTATTAATATTTAATATTATTATTAAATGATTTAATAAATTATTGATAGATGGCGCTGATATCTATTTTTTTTTTAATTCAAATAAACATAGCAACATTTGTTTGTATTCAAAAATTTTTTGAACAATTGTTTAACATGTTAGAATGTTACATATTAGAAAATAAAGCAAATTTTATATAAATTTTTAGTAGAATAATTTTTAGTTATAATACTGTAATTTACAGGAAACTGTAAATTTAATTTCTTTGACGACACTAAAAAAAAGTTTATTTTTAGCTTTATTATGGCTAAACCCGAAATTTAGTTCTTTTAGTTCTAGGTCTAGTGTTAATTGATATTCCGTACTAGATTGCTGCATACTTTTACTGAAATAAATTAAAAAAAAAAAAAAACACTAAAAAAATAATTTTAACTGACATTATCGTCTGTCATTAAATTATTTTTTTATGTCAATTCACCTAATTTACAAAATCACTAAAATCGTAATAATCCAACTCTGTCAACGTCAAATTTGAAATTCGGATTCGAATTTGAACCATGTCAGAATATTTTGTATGACCATAGAAGCTAATACGACATTTTATTTATTTATTCTAATTTAAAGTGCCAATTTATATAAAAAAAATTGGGTATGCCGGTTACGCGATTTGATTGAAATTTAATATCTTAATATCTTACATAATTTTAATGGGTTATACAATATTGCACAGATAAATTCCAATTTAAAGTGCAACTTTATATGAAAAACTGTAGGTATGTGTTTAGGTAAAGTACCATTTCCGGTTATGTGATTTGATTGAAATTTGATATCTTGATATTTCACATGATTATAATAGTTTATACAAAATGGCATTAATATACCTCAATTTAAAGTGCAACTTTATATGAAAAAATATAGGTATGTGTTCAGGTAAAATGTCACTTTCGGTTGACGAATTTAGTCTAAATTTTGATACAAATCATCATTGTAATAAATCTCTAAATGTCTAAGCGTCACTTTTCGCTTTAATTGTAGCAATAAAAGGGAAATAAAATGTTTCAAAATTAACACTTTGTGTTTAAATCAAACTCTAATAACCGAAACAGACTCAAAATAAACGTGTAAAATAAAAACATTACAAACCTCAATTTCGAATTTTCAGGAACTGAAGAACTCGTAACTCCAACTTTATAATTATTCGCCTTATCGTTTGCTACAATACTGAGTTCGCTCGAATATTTCTTCCGCGTAGGAGGGGCACTTCCGCTGTCTTGTCGCGTTAAAGTTCCATTCGACGACAACATCGAATTTCGCAAACTAGAACACCGCGAATTTAAGTTTATATCTTCGTCGGCGGAATAAAAAGCTTCCGATTGATTCTCGCTCGACATCGAGATCGTTCTTTGTACTTGGAGTTCGCGTAAACGCTCCTCGGAGGTCCCCCCTAGCGAGTGATGGCTCTCCGAAACGTTTACGACGGCTGGTTTTGTTTCAATTTCGTTTTGGTCGGATTTTTCGGGGATTTTCTCGTTTTGGTTAAAATAATCAACGGCTAATTTTGAGTCGGAGACGCTGTTTTTGGGTAAAGGCTCCACATCGGGGTTAACAACCGCTAATTTCGTTTTTTCCGTGTGCAATTTTGAGTCACTATCTAATTTATTCGCTAAAACTGTTACGTTATCGACGAGGCGAGCGTAAGGAATATCTTTACTTCTAATTGAAGTCGAAGAATATCTCCGATTTCCTTTTTTTTCCAAACTATTATGGACTGAGCTACTTTGCTCGATAATTTTAGTTTCTCCAATTGAGGAAGTTTTTGGGCTCTCTAAGTTATTTTTGGTCACTTTTTTGGTTTTTCTCAAACTGTCTTGTAGTGAAATTTCGTTTATCGTGTATGGGGGGGTTCTAAAAATTAATTGGGATTCGTGTAACACGCTTTGTCCATAACCGGGGTCTCTCCCGGGTTCGTTGACGCGAAAAGCAGCTACATTCATGCCTTCCTCCAAATCTTTAGGGGATGGCTTAAAAAATCTTGTCCCATTTTTGTTGCTTCCGAAAAATAAGCACCCCCCAACGCATCCACATCGCCCCATCGCTTTATTTAATTCGGGCCATAAGAACCACAACTTTTTGTGCCGATCGTCGTGGATTTTCAAAAACTTTTGCTGCGTCGTGTACATGTCGAAATCTTTTACTTCGGAGGAAGTCGCCGATTCGATGACTAAAGGACCTAAGTCGATCGATCCAACTTCCAACCAAATATCGGAGTTATCCGATTTTGAGTACTTGTGAGGTTGATAAATGCACTGTCTTAATCCAACCGAGTAAATAACGCACGATAAACCAGTCCCAACTTGTTTCCCGTGCAAATTACACATTGCCAATCGCACGGGGGAAATAAAAATTTGAAGCGAAACTCCAGACTCGACCAACCACAAATCCAAAACATCAACCGCCAATCTTGTAACTTTATATTTTAATTTATGACAATCAATATTGTTTATGTTTAAATCATCGCTTGTTGTGTTTTGATTCGATCTTTTCGCTTCCGGTTGCTTTTTCGTTTTTCCATCTCCTTTAACGGTGGTGTTCGATGAATTTTGGCTCAAATTTTTCGTAGTTGTGTTACTCCGCGTTTGCAACAATTGTAGTGGGAAAAAATTTTGGTGAGTACTCGCCGTTTTTTGAGTAATTTGAGGTTCTTGCAACAACACATCATCCGTGGGAGAATTCACCTCGTTTTCGTTATCTTTTAACAGCAATAAAAGCGTTTCTAACCCAGTTAAAATCGCGTGAAGTTGAGGGGTTGATATTTTCCCACTCAATCGGCCCAATTGTACATCAACCAACCAAGCGTACTCAATCGTGTCTTCGTCGAGACTCCGCCCGACGTCCGAAAACATCGCGTGGCCTCGAACTTGCAATGAAGATAACGTTAAGCGTCCTTCGTTTAAATGTTTTTCTTTGTTGGGTCTTATAACGGGGTCGGAAACTAGAAGAATCGTCGGGGATAATAATAATTGGAGTTCGGTTTGGTCGTAGCGCTTCTTCATTTCAAATCCGAAACGTTCGATGAGAATAACTGGGCATGATGGGTCCTTTTCCATGCAATTCTAAAAATAATAGTATATTATATTATTATACGAACATATAATGAGGGCTATTATTCACTAATTAACTTGATTAACTTGAATTTTTGAATAAAGTTTAAACGTCAATGTGACACAAATTCAACGTAACCAACTTCACAACAATTTGTCAAAATTAAATGTCAATTTTATGAAAAATATGCTTAAATCATAGGAAAAAAGGAATTTATTTAGGTTTTTTTAATGTTTTTAAAATTTCTAGTTTTAGTTTTATTTCTAACGCAAAATCAGTTAAATTTTTTTAATGAAACGTCAAAAAATGACACTTGATAAAGACGCATAGGAGATAGCGCCATCTGTCGGAAAAAGTCTAAAAATGTACGTTGGTAACTATCTTCGCATCATGTCAAATATTCTAACATAATTTCAAGCCACAAGAAAAACGAATTACTATTTAATTTTTTTATAACGCAAAACGTGTACGAATTCCTAAAACGAGGTTCTATAACGCAAATTTCTTTATAGTTTTATTTCTAAAACTGAGTGAATTAAATATTTTTTTTTAATGAAACGTCAAAAAAATGTCATTTGAAAAAGTGAGGTTAGGTTGTGTTGGAAAAGTGTAATTAAGAATCCTCAATGTGATTTTCGAGTACCAACACGGCCGTTTTCGAAGACATCGGCCGCCCCCGACCATCGCGGGCGCTAAAACATTGAAAACCTTGAGTTGGATCCAGCGTTGCCAACCTATGCCGACTAAATATCGATAGAATCAATGGTAAAAAAACGGTAAGTTTAAATACAAAGTCAGAAAATGTTGTTTGGTAAAAGTTTATAAATGAATTTATATATTAAAATGATATTTAAATGAATTTATAATTATACAGGGTGATTCAAAAAACCGCTGACAGACTTCTAGGGCAGGTAATACATCAAAAATTAAGACGAAAACTCTTAATATACGTGCCTCCTTAACGAGATATAGCGGGTCAAAGTTTCTTTTAAAATTAAACATTATCTGCAATAAAAAGCCCTTTTTTAAAAATATTTTCAACGCCACTGCTAATTTTGTTGTGATCAATTATCTATCAATTGGTCCTTTACAAAACTTTAATTAAAGCAACAATTTTTGATTGAATTAACAAATTTTCTACAAACGTGTTTTTCTTAAAAACTATTGCTTTGATCAAAGTTTTGTAAGAGACCAATTGATAGATAATGGATCACTTTACACGAAAATACTGCCCGTTTGACAAAATTAGCAGTGAAGTTGAAACTATTTTTAAAAAAAGGCTTTTTATTGCAGATAATGTTTAATTTTAAAGAAACTTTGACCCGCTATATCTCGTTAAGGAGGCATTTGCGACCCCATATATATTAAGACTTCTCATCTTAATTTTTGATGTATTGCTTGCCCTAGAAGTCTGTCAGCGGTTTTTTGAATCATCCTGTATATACATACAATACAGACAGGATGTCCAATATCTTCCGCATCAGAATATTATAGGTAACACTTGGGAATCGGAGCATGCTATAAGAAAATTTTTATAACAAAAATTGTTGCAAATTTTATTGTTAACAATATTACTCTCTTGCACTTTTGCTCTTGGATATGTTAATATCGAGATAGATACGAAAATTTTATGAATTTGTTGCATTTTCGAGTTATTATAGATAACACTTGGGAATCGGAGCATGCTATAAGAAAATTTTTGTAACAAAAATTATTGCAAATTTTATTGTTAACAATATTGCTCTCTTGCACTTTTGCTCTTAGATGCGTCAATATCGAGATAGATACGAAAATAAGAAAATTTTACGAATTTGTTGCACTTTCAAGTTATTATAGGTAACACTTGGGAATCGGAGCTAGCTATAAGAAAATTTTTATAACAAAAATTGTTACAAATTTTATTGTTAACAATATTGCTCTCTTGCACTTTTGCTCTTAGATGCGTCCATATCGAGATAGATACGAAAACATGAAAATTTTACGAATTTGTTGCATTTTCAAGGTATTATAGATAACACTTGGGAATCGGAGCATGCTATAAGAAAACATTTATAACAAAAATTGTTGCAAATTTTATTGTTAACAATATTACTCTCTTGCACTTTTGCTCTTAGATACGTCAATATCGAGATAGATACGAAAATATGAAAATTTTATGAATTTGTTGCATTTTCGAGTTATTATAGATAACACTTGAGAATCGGAGCATGCTATAAGATAATTTTTATAACAAAAATTATTGCAAATTTTATTGTTAACAATATTGCTCTGTTGCACTTTTGCTCTTAGATGCGTCAATATCTATTTTGACAATATTATATTTCGAACTGTTTTCAAATTAGGCAGGGGGTTTACTTATGACGCGTACTGTATACAACAACGATCTGGCAACGTTGTTCGAACGACATTGCCATATGGTTGGTATATACTTTTATGCAATATAAGTAGGGTATTCCCTCAAGGTACAATTTTTGTCGCAATTGTATTGATTTTAAGCACGATGTGTTTCATAATACTTTGTTAAAATTTTGAAAATCGGTAGATTAAGTCATATATCGGTAGAGAATGAACATTTCGTGTTCTCGGGGGCGGCCGATGTCTTCGAAAACGACCGTGTTAGCTTAATACTGTGCTGGAAAATGTATTATTTCTGTTTATCTATCTGTTCGTCCCAACCGCACAAGTAAGGTTAGGTTGTGTTGGAAAAGTGTGATTAAGAATCCTCAACAAATTACGTGAGTTAAACAAAATTAGTCGTTTCATGACTTGTTAAGTACAAAATTTTATCCAATTCATTTGAAAAAGCAATTTTTGTTCTAAACTTGAGTTATTCTATTAGTGACAGATGTCAATTTATCATTTGTAGGTAGGTTATGGAATTCATTACATCACTAGTTATGAAAAAAGTGACGTTACAAAACGTCAGATAGACATGTAAAATTTAATTTTCATGATGGAATTAGATAAATTTATTTTTTAAATAAAGTTTAAACGTCAATATGACACAAATTCAATGTTACCAACTATAACCAACTTCACAACAATATGTCAATTTTATGAAACGTCATGCTTTTTTTTACAAAAATTAATTAATTTATGCTTAAATCATAAGAAAAAAGGAATTTGTTTGTTTTTTTTTTAATATCAAACTTTTAGAAAGTCCTAAAAAAATTAAATTAAATTGACATTTTTTGAAATTTTGACGTTTCAAATAATTATTAGTCTGTCAAGTTAGTCGTGGACAAAAATATTAATAAAACTGAAACAAACTTTAAATAACTTACTTTGAGAATGTGAGCTTGAACGTCGTGGATAATAATCGAAAGATCGACTTGGATGGGTCTATAATCTCTCATATCGAAGTCATCTTGTAATTCAATCGGGATATCAACTGAGCTGTGTTCCGATTTTAATTCGTTTTCCGGGCTAGAAGAGGATTGCATATCGAAGAACATTTGGTCGTCGCCGAAAAGATTTTCTTTGCAGTTGACGAAGTTTCTTAATGCGGTTCCGTACAGCAATAAAACGGAGGGGCCCACTTCAATTTCGACGGTGACTATGTCCGGTTTTAATGTGGTTGGGTCGAATTTGTTATGGACTCCATCTTGCTGGAAAATTAATAAATTTAATTAATAAACCCCAAACACGCTTGGCCAAAGATTAGAATTGCTTGCAAATCTTTATAATACAAGATTCTGCTTGTAATACACTGAAAACTGCTTGCAGAAGAATAAATATTGTTGGCAGAAGACTAAAACTGCTTATTGAAGCCAAATATTGTATCTTGAGGACTAGATACTGCTTGTAATATACCAAAAATTGTTTGCAGAAAATTAAATATTGATGGCAGAAGACTAAAACTGCTTGCAGAATACAAATACTAACTATAAAAGTATAGATACTGCTTGTAATAGACTGGAAATTGCTTGCAGAAAACTAAATACTGTTTATCCTCACTTCGCCGAGGTTGCTTGCTGTTCTTCTAATATATCAAATCTAGCGCCTCGCCCGCAAGCGACCTCGGCGGAGTGAGGCGAAATCATTCC